AAATCAAAAATCAAAAGTATGCAAATTCAAAACAATGCTAATTTTCAGATATTAGTAATCGTGATGAACGCATTCGACAATTACTTGAAATTATGCCATCTTATGATGCTCTTTACTCGTTTACTATAAGTGTTGTACGCAAGGTATTAAAATTTTATATATGAATTTCTATTCTTTTTTCAAGTATAAATCAATATAATCAAATAATTCTTTAAATTAACTTTCAAGAATTTATAATTATATATTAGCAATATAATTATTTTTACGTTTATATCACGTTTGTTATGATTTGTTATGATTATCGTTAGAATTTGCAAATTCGAAACAAATTTATTTGTTGAGAAAAATAAATAAATTTAAACTGGCGCCATAATAAAAAATCATACAAATTTTGTAATATTTCGGTTTCAATCATATATTAAGCAAATACATGCTAAGTTATAGTTGGAAGAATTTTGCTTCTGAACTTCATAATACTTTTTAGGATGAAAAAATACTTAAAAGTTAGAATAAGAAGCATTATTCTTATCAGATTTGACTTTTTTAGTTAGGTCGACTTCGAGCATCATATATTGAAAAAAATATGTATGCAAATCGATCTGATTTTGAAGTAATGCATGCTCAGTCATCTTTACTTATTACTCATTCTCAGGTAAATTATTTTATTAATTCTGAATTTTTGTTAAAAATTTTGTGTAAAAAGAATTAAGCCTTAAAAGATTTGAAGTTTTTAAGCCAAAATTTGAATAAGATGTAATTTTCGATTGAAATAAATAGTTGCTGACATTAGCATATGAAATTACAGTTGGAACGATTGAAGTTGCAACTTCAAGCAGTTTCACAACGTAGGATAGCAAGGCCTGCTTCATATCACGGCGAGGATTTACTTCAGAAAATGGTACTTAACTTAACTTTATTTCTGTTTAATTTTTGCATTGAATAGAAGAATTCTAAATAATTATAGTCAAAATGGACTATGAAAAACAAAATTATCGACAGTAATGATAGTAACTGCATCTTTATGAAGAAAATATTATTGAAAATTTGAAAGTTTTGAGCACAGATCAAATATTATTATTTGTACTGCAGTTTATCACTAAAAATTATTCATTTTTCAGTAGTTAAGAATTTTTTTTTTTGTAAACAAAATATATAATTAGCTTAATATTACTTTTATTGCTAACAGGAATGCAGATAAGTCGCTTTAAACTAATTCAGTTGCTTACTGTAATTGCCAAGTAAAACTAAGATCAGATCTCATTGCTGTCTATCACAGATTTCAGGATAAACTTAACACTGACAACATATTTGGCAAGGGGATAGTAAAAAATTTATTAATTTCAACTCAAATAAATATTTATTTTAGTTTCTATGCGAAAAATTATTGGTAGTAGTATATTAGTATATTACAAGCATATGCAATAAACGGTGAACAGCTTCAGTTTTAAAATTAAGTATGAAAATACAATTGCAGTCAAAAGTAGAACAGAAATAGTTTATAAAACTATTAATCAACGATTAATAACCAGTTTACAATTCCAGATTAAGCCAGAAATAAACTTTCTATTACCATTAAAATTACATGGTTCTCGTATTCGTAAGCATCATCGTTCAGTTTCTTGTGCTATGGAATCTGAAGCAGAGGAAAATGAACAAAGCATTGAGAATGAATTTTTGCGATTATTTGATTATGCTAGATGTATAATACTGTTTGCCTTTTTCTTTTTTAATTTTCAATATTTATTTAAAAAATTCAGAAAAAGTTATTGTAAATTTTTTTAAGTTAAAAAAAATAAGATCATAGAAATGATCTCTAAAAATGGAATGAATTTAATTGAAATTTAGTTTTAAAAACTTTATTTTATAAGTGCAACAAAATAAAAGTAATTAATACAAACTGTATTTCGATTTCCTTCGTTTTCTCAATATAAATATTTTGTATGATTTTAAAGGTTTGTCAAGAATATCAGAATGTGTAACAGTAAAAAAAACATCTGTAGAAAAAGTTGGCATTCCAAATTCAAGTTTAAAAAACAAAAATGATCTCTCAAGTACAGCAGTTATTCGAAAACCAAATAAACCAGGGATACGAATTAATTACTCAAGTGAGTACCTTCATAATGAACTTTATTTTTAAAAAATAATTATAAATCATAAAAGAGTTTTTTTAATAAAGAAAATGAATAAAACAAAATTCAGGCTCACCAACACGTCCACAGGAACAACTAAAAAATTGCTTCCAAAGAAATCGTAAAATAGAATTAGCTGCACGTCCTGTGAGGTACATTTAATCTTATCTATTATAAAGTAGACGATAATAAATATTATTATATGCTTATTTATGACTAAAAGTATAATATTTTAAAAAAAATTTAATCTTGGCAAGATTTCAACTCAAACTGAATTATTTATTTTAATTTTAGCCTGGTCGAAACAGAAGGTAGAACGTTAACAGTAGGAGATAATACTCAGAATTCACCAGGTTACGTAGTTAAAAAATCAAATGTAGAAGGAAATGCGCCACTTTCGTTAAAGTCAGAATTTGCATAAACTCACTTCTCATACTAACATATTATGACAATTATTATGATATAGAAGACTTTTCATGACATTTTAAGTAAGAATTGCAGACAATATAAAAGAATATACAATCCTTTTTCAGTAAATTTAGATAAAATGCAAATTTAAAAAATTTTCCTCCAAATTATTGTTTACAAAACTACAAAGAAAAAGGCTACAATTTAAGAACAAAGAATTTATTCCTAAAACAACTTTATTATTTTCAATGATATGTATAGAAAGTTAATTTTTCTGACCATTTTTAGTTTACATCCACTGATCAGTCAAGATCAAACGCAAACAATTGTTTCTTCACTACAAGACATAAGAAATCATTGCGCTCATAGTCCACATTCAACACCACTTATGATGCGACGGATTAACGAACGATCAAGAAATAGCAATCAGCATGGATTAGCTGATTCATTCGGTAGCTATCTGACTCATGCACTTTTCAGATACCATTTCTAGGCATGAGATTTGAAAGTAAAATAATTTTCATTCTGTTCATACAATGCAGTAATTAGTAAATGTCAGCAGGAAATCAGTCAGCTACTTGCGATATACCACTTTCTCAAAGTAACGCTTCATCGGATTATGTATCTATCATCACAAAACAAATCCATACAAGTCCAGAAAAGCAACCGACGACACCAAAAAGATCACTATTAAGTAATTACGGATCCAAACTACGACATCCGACGAGCAGTAATTACCCAATTGCTGCTGTATCACAACTAGTTCAGGAGAATGTTCACGCGGTTCGTTTAGCTATTTTAAAATAAAAGTATTGGAACCAAAAAGGTTTTCTAAATTTTTCTTGTTTTAACTACTGACCTAAACAGTTAGTAAATTTTCTGATTAGAATAAATCTTTGATTGAATAAAACTGTCTTAATCGAAAATAGCAATTTCAAATTTACTTATTTTTAGAAATTAACTATCATCAGATTTGCATTAGCCGATTACTACTAAAATATAAATTCTATAGATCCAAATAAATTCTATAAAAAGTGACAAAAAGTTTCACAGCATTATCTGACTACAATCCTTTATATGGTAGTTCAAAAATTTGTGAACTATGACCGATACACTGCTCGTGTCCAAAATTCTCTTTCTCGCCACACCAATTAAAAATAATCATTGAATGAGAATGCAAATTAAGCGAATTTACTAGATGTTTCAGAACAATTCTGATAATAGAAACATCTGCCGATTACGACGAAATCCCGAAGTTGCTGGAATGATCAAGGGAGAAACATCAGTAACAACAACAAAAATATCTGCTGTACCAAAAATCTTTGAGAGAAGTCGACTTCCAAAAATATCGACAGCACAAACAGAGAAGAAACGGGGTTCATGGTTAAGTAGAATTAAAGCAGTTAAGAAGTAATCTATATTCTCGACTAATCCTTTTACCACTATCGTTATTTAAATAAATTCTTTCTTGTTCTATTAACAAACACTGTTTAGATGCAACATTGCCAGTGGTACCCCAAAAAAAAAGACTGGAGAATAAGTTTTAATGCTACTCATAAATCATCTATCTTCAATCATTCACAAATGATTAATAGTCGTCTCGTCTCATAACTGGAAACTCTAGAATGGAATAGTTTACGAGACATACCAACCAAGCCAATTAAGGAACTTCCAACTAAAATTAAAGTTTGACACTAGCATAAGCTCCTCATTTCAATATGCCAGTTTCGGTGATTAAACTTATTAATAATGCAACTCGCTCTTGCAGATAGTACACACACAATCTCCACTTCATGCCCATATTTCACCTATTTTTTCTTCCTATTTTAAATAGTAAACTAACAATAGTTAATACGACCATAAGAATAACCTAATGCTATTAGGAAAAATCCCCTCAGGTACTACTGCATTCATTTAACAGACGAAAATATTGATTCGGATTCAAAGTATACCGATATTAATAGAATTATTCTCACTAATCAGCAATAAAAAAAGCAATGTGAATCCATCCTCGCCGTATACCACATATTTCTTGTATTGGTCAAGTTTCAATGATTACATACACTTCCGAAGTCCATTTAAAATTGCCAATGACAAAACTGAAGACCAGAAAAAATAATTTATTCAAAGATACCGACCCGAAATTGAAAAATGAAATATAATATATCAGTAGCATAGGCGTAATACAGCTTACAGAAAAGATCTGTAAAGGAAAACATCTGAATGGCAGTCATTTTCATGAATGCGCATCGATATGCTGGTAATAATTACAAAGATGCAGAAAAATCACATGATCGTAATACCTTACAATACTATACAGACTAAAAAATTACTTATTCTATGAGGACTTGACTGAGATCACAATTTACCAACCAATCTAATATTTTATTAAGACGTTATTTCACTCATCACGAACCATATAAAAAATCATTCACACCTGGATCAATGAAATTCTTTTGAGGGATTTATGCATGATATTTCCTCACTCGATTTTAATAATGATGTCAAATTCGTAGTAGGCAGTCCTTGATACAGTGGATCTCGAAGCCTTTTCAAATCAAGTTTTATTGAATTTGCAGCATTTTGCAGCTCATTGAATCTGCAATATATAAATAAAAGTTAGTTAACAATGAGCAATGTTTACCTATACCATATTTTATTTTCACACACTAGTCATGTACAACACAAACCAATACAGCTTTATTCGATAAACGTTCACTTACCTGGATATGTCGAAATTGTTTTTCGTTGCTTTCTTATGAAAATGCAAGCTTATCGCTCTTCGTTTATGCTCGTTGTAATCATATGACTGCAAAATACAGAGTGCAGCACATTATACTTACAAAGAAAATTATTTTACACGTTTTTAAACTTTAGAAAGAAATCATTTGATTTCAGAGAGCGATCTGACGAATCGTTAGAATGCGATACAAACAATTCCTTCAGAAACAATTATGAGCTCATAAAACAAGAAACTGAACAAGTGCTTTAAAAAATGATACTTGATTGGTATAAATATAATAAGCAAATGATGCAATGAGGGAAGCATATGTTGTGAAATATGTTACGGGTTCCATAATATCCCAACTATATTCCCACCAAGTTAATCGACCAAAAAATCCTGCTTGAAAGCCCATAGCCCCAAAGGTTATCCATAGAACTCGCTGAGCACGCTTTTTACAAAGTGTATCAATTCTAGCTTTCGCCTGAAATTTATCATTCCACTAGGAATCGAGTGCAGTGCCATTTCGACCATAGTTGTCTGTTCACTTCGATAATTATTAACGACATGCTGCAACCCAAAAATTTTAATGCCAAATCAAATAAGGTTTCCTGCACAAAAAGGCTGTGAAATGAATATTTAATTTAAAAATATTGGTCACGACCACGAGTGAGAAAAAATAGGTAAAGCGTAAATCAACAATGCTCTAGCAGTACTATAACTATCATTTTTATTTACGCGAACGTTAAGTTTTTGAAAGATACTTCATCACATCTAAAAATCTTGAGAAAACTCTGAGAACAAACTGACTTCAAGCAGAGGTTTTAATTCTGCCTGCACAGTCTCATACTTTTCCAAAAGAATTCGTTCACGAAGTGCTTTGTATTCCTCAACATTCATCACAGAATGTAAATACGCGACGGCACACTTAATGTCATCAAATTTTTGCATTTTATCGTATCCCGTATCACTTTCCTGCATATTCACTATTGCAAAACATCTGTGAAAGATTTTGTCTCTAACATACATTGCATTGAAAATATTCAAGAATGTTACATTAATAATATTTGTAAACTACTGAAAAATAAATAATGATTACCAGTTTACCACCATTCAGAGACGGTACTTCAACAATATAAAACATATCGTTGATTCGTAATCTAAAATTGCCTCGTATCAATAAGTCACCTACGGATGTACTTCCAGCAATCCGGCTACCATCTGAAAATTTGCTGTTAATAGCCAATGACAGAATCAAATCTGACCTGACCAATAATTGGACTCATTAGTGAAGGAATTTCTCCAAAAATACATACAACTCCAAACAAGGGCTTTTTATTGAAAAATTAAATATTGCTGCTTCCTTTCTGTGGTCATATCAAATGTGAAGATGAAATAATACTAAAATATCTGCAGAATCAAAAAATATCCTTTCATCTATTCTTTTTTTTACTAAGGCTCTTTGAAAAGGACGGTCTATATGAAATGAAACCCTAAAGTTTTGTTGAAGAAAAAGAGCTCGAGGCATTACTGTCTTTTATTTAGATTAAAAAATTCTAAATTTGTACTGCTATATAATGTTGCATTGTTTTTTATAGTATCTGTTGCAACGGAAAATGTAATTACTGAGTACTTATACCTCCATTACTCTGAAATAAACATGAAAGCAATGACAACTCCAAGTGCGACACATTGCAAAAAAAATCTGAACTTACTTGAAGAATATATATTTACAAGTTCTATTCCTTTATCTTCACATTTGATATAATCACAAAACCTCGTCACCGTATCACCCACAGGCTTCAGAATAAATTGACAGGTTTCGTTTCTTGACGGCAGCGGTACTTCGAATACTGGCAAGCCATTTTCATATCTCATTTTAAGAACCGCTTGTGTAGCACTATTTGAAGACTCTCGCAACAGACGCTAAAAATTAAAAATAGTTAACTACCGAGTTGGCAAAAAGTATAATATACATTTGCAAATAAAACAAAAGCTTACCACAAGACTGAAGTCAATGCTGCAAGTTGTTATTGAATTAAAATATGAATACTGTTTTTGCAGCAAATTCGTGAAACCAAGCCAATGCCACTTCATCAAAGCGAGCGCTTAAAACAACAGTAACAAGTACAGAAAAGATAATTCATGTCAGCACCAAATAATCGAATAGATTAAAAATATCCCACTTCTCCCAAATATGTTAAAATGCTGATTAGACACAATCCATCTTGCATCAATTTTAATATCCATTCCTCCAATAATGAATACAATTTGAGAAACAATTATGTTTGGTCCAAACAAAAGTATTCCTGTCAAATTAAAACGACCTATTTTCTGCACAATGCACACACAATATCTTAGTGTAATGAAAATAAAATGTGCATCCACCGGGAGAAATACATAAATGACAGATCTACACAAACTTTACTGTATAGTCAGATGAACGACTTCAAGATTCATAGCAGGATTTAGATTTAAATAAAATAGGTGAATTGCCATAACGAAAGAAAATGCGAAATTCAAGCTAACTGAACAAAGTTATGCATAGTATAGATGAAAGAATGTTAATACAAACACGGTACATACTTACCAGTACAACGACATGCTAAACATTGTGAGAAGTAAATAAAGAGGAACATCTAAGCTAAAAACAATATACCTTATAGAGAACATAAAAATTAGACTGGACAAATGAAGAAACGAGAAGAAAGCGAAACACTGACAACACTACATTTCATGTTTGATTTTACTCACCTGGGTCCATGCATGGGTTGCAACAAATTTCATATCGGACAAAAAATTTCTGAGTTATTTAGTGAACAGGACCTGTAGAATGAAGTAGTTATGAGTGAGATTTAGATCAGATATTACTGGTTCCTGGTAACTCATACATCTTCCGCATATTTCCTAAAATGGATATTCTCAAGACTGAAATCGATCGTAAACGAAAGCAAATTCAGGAAGTTAAGGTATTTTTTGCTTGCTTAAATGTTGAAAATAGCTCATTATTTAGTCATTGTCTTCTTACACTTGTTTTGCATTTCGCACTGTTACATTACTTTGCAGTACAACTTGTTTTCTTTTGTTAATTATTGTGATTTGAAGTATAAATTAACTTCTGTAAATAACGTTTAGGGGAATGTGTTGAAAATCCAAACTGCTTATCATTATACGAGTTTTTTCTTGATATCATTGATAACACGTGTGGCAGTGTGGGTCTTCAAATTATTTGAGGAATCAGAAAAACTTGCATTTTAACTAGTGACCCGAAAAAATCTAGAAACTAATAGTTTCTAGTAATTTCCGAAAACTACATAATAACAAAAGTATTAATCCAATTGTAGATTGCAACTTGTATTCCGCATGAAATAAGTATCGTTGGTATGACATGAAACAGCAGTATACTTTTAAAATTAGGCTATAATTGGTCATTTTCACTGAAATATAAAAAAAATGCAGTATGTTTGTGTTTAACTAGTTTCAGTGTTTTTTAGCCCGAAAACAAAAAGTATTTCAAACGAGGCAAACTCCTTGAAAAGGAAGAAGAAAATTACTGGAAAAATCATGGATCCAGACAGCGGAACTTGTCAGTGAACATGACAGTATGTTTTTGTTTTTCATGTTTCTCGCCGCAATTTTCTAATGTACGTTAATATCAGATTGACTTTCGAATATTTGTAAACTGTTGCATACATAGTTAATTTAATTCATAACTTTATTAGTTCAGCCATTTAATTACTGAGAAAGAAATCAACGGCCTTTTGCAGGGTGAAAAACACTCTTGTGAGCAAAATAATAAACCAGAATCAAGCTCTGATGACTTATCACGAGCGGAAGTCATTAAGAGGTTAAGAAGTCGAAGCCAACCGATTACACTGTTTGGTGAGACTGAACAAGCTACCCTCTTGCGTTTGCGCCAACTAGAACTTGAACAGGCATGTTTTCGCGTAATTCCTTTCTACATTTGTTCTATTTTTTTGTGTGAAATGAATTGAAGCTTTAATCAATGCTTCTTTGCAGCCTGATATGAAAGAAGGATGGAAAAATGATTTTCAGTCGGCTATGAAAGAAGTTGATCATGAATTGATAGAAGAAGTTATTAAAGGGAAACAGCATATTGCGAGTAGGTTTTAAATAAGCGCATGAGTGTCAGTTTTTGGAAGTATAATTTTTAAAATGCTTGTTAAATTTCTTAAACTTGAATTTATGATATCAGGTAAGCATGATGTTGTAATGCCTAACTGTGGAGATACAAGTTGGGAGAGAATCGAAGCAAATGCACGATTACTGGGCGAAGGCGATGATCCAAACAGAGATTGTAGCGTTATTCATGAATTTTTCTTGTACATTTTAACTCGATGGGGCAAGGCTTTGAATGCTCGAGAGGAATCTGAAAAGAGGTCGGTGCCAATTTTTTGTTCTAATATAATTTGATATATTTGTGCTGAAGGAAATTAATTTCTTATTGCATTTTTTTACACTTTGCTTTAATTAAAAATTTTTCTAAAGAACTGTTGTGTGCATCATCATGAACAGAAAGTAAAACTTTCAGAAACAATATGTTTTTAGATCAGCTGAAGGAAAGTTGGCAGCAACGATGCATAAGCAAACTATGGATCATCTTCGTCCGTTTTTGAAAAATCTGGAAAAGAGAAATGTTAATGCTGACATTCGGGAACATTTGATAAAGATTTGTCGTCTCATCATAATTGACCGTGATTATATCCAGTTCGTTTATTTTCAAGTTTTTTATCCACTCTTTATTGAAATAGATTGTATTGAATAGACTTTAAAAAATATTTTCTGTGAAAATGATATTTTTGGTAGGGCAAATAATGCTTATATGGAGATGGCAATAGGCAATGCTCCATGGCCTGTTGGTGTGACTAGATCTGGTTTACATCAACGACCAGGTTCAGCAAAAGCTTACGTTTCAAATATTGCACATGTATTGAACGATGAAACACAACGAAAATACATACAGGTAACGCATAATTTGATACAGTTGTTACAATTTATCTCTAGAATAAACGGCGATGATTATATAGATGGGATGATTAAAAAAGTGTAAGAAATCATTTGTAATATTCTTAAAGATATCAAAAAGTCAGAATTCAGAAAAGCGATGAAAAGTTACAAAAAAGAAGGTGTTTGAGGGATTATTTATCATTCTCTCATCTATTATAATATAACAGAGTAATTTCTCCTTTCAGTTTACTGCATCGTTACGAAATTTTTATTACCGATAGAACTGTCAAGTATTATTTTAGGACTGAGTACTCAGTGATATAATGCACTGTATGTTATGTTTTTAATTCAATTAGTTGATAAGTATTGAAGTAAATGAAGAAATATTAATCAGTTTTCTAGTTCATTTAATCAGTATTTCAGGCTTTTAAGAGGATAATGACAAGATGTCAAAAATATTTTCCGACAAATCCAAGTAAGTGTGTCGAATATGTGCGAGAAAATGAAGACAAGAAAGAATATTAGTGATGTTTTCAATTCTGTCCATACAGTTTGTGTCATTTGTAAATAAACTTTTATTTCATGAAAGTGTTCTTCTTTGCTTCGTGGATTGATGCCTTTCTGAAATGTCGAGACGACTTTGCTTAATTGCTTGCACCATGTAATTATACTCTGAAGTAAACAGAAAGCAACTAAAAAATGAGTCGACTAAGAAGTCTATTTTATGTTGTAACTTAATAAGGATTCCCTAGACTCTATCTCAATAATAGTTGGGGTGATTCACGATACTTCATTTTTTGTGTTAGACATTGGTATTGCTATTTTCAGGCCCAATATCAGTTCATGATATTTGGAATTAGTAGATTGTCAAAGTTACTGTACTGATGCGGGGGATGAGAAATGTTGGACAGAGGGCACAAAAAACACTGTGTTAAAGAATTTGGCTCTATACTTTCAAAGTGGGTTTTTGGTTGAGATGGTTTTTTCGGATATGTCTAGTTTTTTAATACAGTTCTTACAGGGATGGTTACATCAATCTTCGCCCTCACTCATGAAAAGGAAGTGTTTTTTGCCTGCCATAATTGCAATCACCAAAAGACCAAGGACAAAGGAATTATGAGTAATTAGATACGACAACTAATAACTCAACTAGAAATGCAGAATTGCGATTTCGGGTTTAGTTACATTTAGTTGTCAGAAACTATTTAATTGAATAAGGTTTATTTCAATCACTTTTGGGAAAAAGAAGTGCTTACAGATTTCGTTTTCAAGAGTAAGGGGCCAACTGGTAAAGTTTGGACTATAAAGCGTACAGCATTGGTATGTTGTTGTACGATAAACACTAAAAGACTTAAGATGTGTGAGTCAAAAAGTATGGTTTTTAAGCATATTTACTGAATTATTTTTCGCGCTTTTCAAAAAGTTATCCATATCGTATAACTTTAGTGACTTTTATATCAATTTAATTACACACTGAAAAGCTTGCAAACGTTTCACGACCTCATGGTTTCAGATATCGACACACTGGGAAGAAGCAGTGAACTGATGAGACTGATGGAAACGTTACACAAAGCCAGTCATTATTATTGGCAGTTGGTTGTGTGAACTGGCAAGTCACATTAGATGCTTTTTTTGGTATAGTCAGATAATGTACAATTTTATCCTGCCCCTTGATTTTGTATATATTGCGAGCTTATTCCATTATGAGTTTTTAAGAATAAATTATGACTCGTTCAGGAAAAGGTTATCAGAAATCTTAGTAGAAGGATTTAGCAAATTCTGAAACGCAAGTTAAATAAAACATGTATGATCGTTTATCATGCAGTTTTATAAGGTATTAATTTGTCGAGTCAGCGCTAGGAATTTGTCTGGCAGTATCAGTGCTTTGTTCATTCTAACTGGTAGTAATGATCTATGTTGTAAACACAACGTGAAATGAATGTAGTCATGAGAAGGAATTTTTTTAATATGAAACAAGAAACAAAGATTCGGCACAACAAATCATAGGAAGTTCTTCCTGGGTTCATATTCTAGACCGGGATCAAATTGCTCCAATACGTAAACCTAAAAAGCCAGAAGTTTTAGGATCGGGAGCAGCATATAAGTTTCATTTTTGAAATATAGAAGAAAGAAGAGAGGTTAGAAGCATACATAATCGCTCAGTAGTAATCTTAATTCAGCTGGTGGATTTGTAATTACATATCGTTTGTTTGAATCAACAGCTGCTTGATCATGTAGTCGGTATAGGCCAATGCATAATTGTCCATATCTTTTCAGAGCAATGCTAAACATTTGTCCGTACGAGCTACCAGTCTGAAAAATGAATTTATGTAACATGCTTTGGGACTACTACATAAAAAGTGATTAATGTATTAAATAATGGAGAGCAGCGTTAAATTTTACTGTAATTCCTTCAAAAGGTTGGTCTTGTAAAGCTAATTGGGAAATTCTACAACGATCTCGATTGTTAAGTGTTTCAGGTGTGCTGTATCCTCCTCGTAACCCTGCTCCTTCTGCCAAAATTAACTCCAGTTCTGGAGTGGCTCCACCCGTCACTAATGTTCGAATCAACGTCAACGCGGAATCATTGAAATATGTCTGTGAAGAACAACTTTGTAAGTGGAAACCATGGAATTTATATAAATTAGCAAAAACCGGCTGAATTTGTAGTAGTTATGCAAGTTACACTCATTTAATTGTTTCTAACATATCAAAACTCTTACGGTGCTCATTAAGGAATCCAGCACTGAAATCGCGAATGCAGTTCCACACGCAAAAGGTTGTGTGAGGTAGAGTTCAGTATCGGGATCATCGTCATCATCTTGATCCAGAAATTGTACATTAGAATCGTTAACTAAAGCAAAGTACTGATTGGAAAAGCGACTAATACATGAATTTTAGAACATAGTTTTCGCACTAATTTCTAGTGCCAGTAATATTCATTTCACAACATGATAAGCAATAATTGCATATAATAAAAGAAGTGATTTGCTAAAACACTTCCGGGTAATGCACCTAATTCGGTAATCATTGGTACATTGGTACCAAATCGTGCGCCTTTTTTTTGTAATGATAACGGACTACCAAGCGGTGACACGGCTCCACCAGTCTGACGTAGTGGATAAAAACCAAGAGTGTCATCAAACTAAAAATTTTAAAGAAGTAATTTAACCATTTCAGTTGTAGAATAAAAAGAAATCACCTTGCAACTGAAATGTTTAATCTTAAATTAAGTTGGCTGTCTTTTATTTACTGTTTTTAAAAGTAAAAGGAAAATGAGAACAAGTAGCGTGGTTAGATTCATATTAAAGTACGGTAACTTATGGGAAAGAACTTATCAAACTGAAGGGAAATCACTCAAACAAGAGTAAGCTAGAAATTTTACAAATATGGAAAGAACAATTTTGAGACCAATTATTTTATGATAAGTACGACACAGAAAACAAAAGCAGTCAACAAGTGACGTGAAAATTCAGTAGTCTGTAAATGAGATTTTGATCTTTGGTTCAATATAAGAACTCGCATGAATAATTAGATTCAACTGGAAAATTCTGTATAATCCGCATCTTACTAGCATGGTACTATGCGTATACCTACCTTTCGAAGTGTGCTCAACAACTAATTCACTAATACTAATTCAAGTTCTGGAACAGGTAAGTGTGAACCTGCATAGCTTTAATGTTCAGTGATGCTAAGATGGCCTCCTTGTCAGCTAAGGTTGGGTCTTCGTTTGGATTTGGTATACGAGCGGATACAATTACGCACATATCGCATAAATTTATATTAACAGCTCGTAAATCTGCTCGAGAGAGCGGTGATCCCTAAAATTTTAAAATTTTAACTAATTATCTTTGTTATCAATATTTTATACAATCCTTCTAATAAACGTATATTTTCTTTATTTTCAAGATTTAAGTCTTCTCAAATGAATATTTTCAAATGATTTTTGATTATTCATTTATTAATCTTGATTACAGCTGATTCCAATTATTAATTAATTACATTATGCTAGTCAAGAATATTATTAGAGCTAATTTTTCACTACGTTATTAATACAACTACCAATTAAATGAGCGTTGATATTTTTGTCAAGTATCACTAAGTAAGAAAAACCAACATGGTAACATTTGTCATTTGTTATGTATGGTTTTGAATAATCTTAGATTTTTTTATTTCGAGACTAATTTTAAATCTACTTTAGAATAAATTCTAAGCATGATAAAATGAATGAATATATTATTATCTTTTTTTAAAGGTTTGTAATTTAATCAAATTACTTACATTTAAAATAGAAATTTTGGGTAAATTATACAACGTTTTCCATTCTCTTTTTAGATATTCCACATCACCAACAATAACAACATGCTTAAGTTCATGATAATGAAAATTTGAGGCACGAAGAGGCATGACAAAGTTACGAAGGCCAATTAACGGCGAATCACGATCCGCAAATAAGCAAACAACAACATGTCCGTTTAATACTGTCATTGCTGCTTGATGGCGATCCTAGTAAGTAACATTTGGTTACATACATAAAAAATCAAAGAAATAATAATTTAATAGTACTCTTTCCTAAACCTAAACATTCATTATTAAAATAAAAATCAGAATGAAGTAAATATAGTTTGCTTTATGAGTTGGTATAATATATTTATGATAATTTACACTTAAATTATTTTCTTTCGAAGAATCGTTTCATTTTGTTTCAGTAAATTACACAGTCTCCAACTTCTATGGTTTGTAATACTATTTATTCATATTTTTTATAATAAATAAATACTACTACTTACTAAAACGCATTCTTCAAGCGTTCGTGCCGGACACCAATGAAACATTCCCGTACTATCGTATTTCATATCTTGTTGTTCGAATTCTTTCGTAGGATCCATTCCGCGCCCCTCTGGTAGCAAACTTAATGAATTTTTTCGTCCAACTGAACGCCTACAACAATTAGTCATTAATTTTTGATGTTTAACTGCTAAGCACACAAAATTATTTTGAATGTTTTTAGCAGAATTTTATTGCATTGTACTTTAAAATACACTAACAATGTATTACGTTGTACATTTTTAAGAAATAATTTTTTTATCGACAACTAATAAAAATTATGTATTCTTATATTTCTATTATTGATTTAATCCTAATAAACTTTGTTTAATCCCAATAAACCATTGAAAAAAAGCTCAATAACAAGCCTTTGATCAAGTCTGCGCAGTTGTACGGTATCGTTTGCTGCATTTGACATAGGTGTTGCACGAGCTAATAAGAACAAAACATAATTCGAAAATAGCTCCAAAATTAAGCAATAAAGATAATCGGAAAGATTAATAATCAAGTATTTGATAATATGAATGTAAAATCTTTTTAATATACTGAGTTCACATAATTAATTATAATACTGAATTATTTCATGTATGATCAATTGCAAATTCATAGAAATACTAAAATTTACATATAATTACTTTGAGTTTTGGAATATATTAAAATATTGTTCGTAATAGTAGCAGGCAAGAATTTATAAGGAAAAAATATGAAGTCATTGTGAGTACGAAGAATAATGCTTTATTCATTAAAAATTACCCACCAATTCGTTTAGAAAGTTGAATTTGTTTAGCTCCTTTTCGGAAAAGAGCTACTGAAAAATGCAAATATGATAAATAGCAATCATCAAATACTTCAAGCTTTATAAACTAAAATATCAGTAATATTTTTTCTGAGAAATTAAAAAACAATGATGATGATGTTTTTTCTTCAGAAAATTTAAGGAAAATACAAACATATGACTTGGTTTTTGTAAACTGTTCAAGTAATTCAAATAAAATTGAATAATTGCAGATAAATCCAACAATCTTATGCAAAAATGAAAAATTAGAAGACAAGACAAGGTAAAAAATTGCAAAAACTGAAAACTAACAATTTCGACATTTGCATTTTTTAATTAGCGAGACATCAAGAATATCTTCATGACATTGTTTACACCAATAGAAAGCTCTAAATTTAAAAATAAATATGGAAATCAAAAGTAATATTGTGTTTTTCTAAATTAATCAAATTAATAATGCAAAAACTAATTAATTAATTAATTAATTAGTAATGAGTCCAGTTACCGTTTTACTTCATCAGCAGATTGAGCAATAAAAAATCCTTGAGTTTGAGGTTGAATAGTTGTAGAAGGTGCTGGATTAATAGCAATATTGCATTCTTTTTTTTCATCATCTTTCAGTTCAATTGCCAATAATAATAGTCCTAACCGCGTGAAAAGTAAACTGAAATTAACAATAATGAAAAGAGAAATATTCACAATGTTTACTTTAATTTATAAAAAGTTAACAAAAAAAATGAGGTAAAAAGCTAAAAATGTTATAGCGAACGGATTTGTTTTGTTGCATTCTTCTTTACATTTTTTCTTAACACTTCATATTTCTGTATTTGAAATAGCAATAACTCTAACAACTCATTTACACTTCACTATTGACAATGTAATAGTACTAGAAGAAGCAAACTTTTTAGTATTCCATTAATTCATTAAGTTATCTTTTTTCCCTCCAATACAATTATTTATCTAATAAACTTTATTTACAGAAAATAAAAAGTAAAAAAAAAGAAAGATTAACTCTATAACTATTTCATACTATTCTCTTTCTTTACATTTTCGCTCACAGATAATATAATCAGCTAAATTGTTCACTCTGCTTTAGCTTCATAGGATATTAATTATGAAAAAGTAAGCAGAAATTTTTTGTTATTTGATCAATTCATCATCCATCATACTATTAATCAATCGCTGTCAGCATAAAATTGCACATTCTCGAGATATATTATCCTCTTGCCATTATTTCTGATAGCAATCCTCTTATCATTCATTAATAACGCTTGCATTACAGTTATTGATAGGAAGCGATTGCGATAAGCAAAATAAATCACTTTTTTCAACATTTTAATAATGATTTAGACAAAAATTAAATAATTAGCAAATGATAATATCCTTTACTAGACACAAAATGAAAGAATGAGAAAATAAATAATCGCAAGAAGCAAAAGATTTTTAATAAATACTCTTGATAACATGACATCATTCTGTTGTATTATTTTCAAAGATTCTACAACATATCAGAAGTACTGAAAATAAAAAATAAATAAAACTTATTAAGAGCAATTTTTGCAAATTTTTCCAAGCATTAGTTTAAGCTCAACAGTGTAATAATAATATTTTAAAAAAAAAACTTCCACACAAAAAAGTATTAATTTATTATTGTTGTTGCTATTAATGCAGTGATGAGAGATGTGTAGTAATTAGCATGCATAACTAATGAGACAGACAATTAATTATAGCTTAGTTTTGTTAATTTTCAGAAGAATAAGTTTGATAAATCTAACAAATAGAAAAATTATTAGCTCAAACACATTCTATGTGCTTACTCAGCTGCTTCCGGAAACGTCATGCCTACGAAACCGTGTGATAATGTATCTGTGTACATTTCCATACCTGCACCACACAGATACAAGTTTAACCAGTCCGGAGTATTGCGGGACTGAAATTTATCAATGAATGGCGATAAATCATTCAGCTCAATTAATGCCTTACTTTCACTGAGCAATTAGAATGAATGAAGAAAAGTATAAGAAAGATTTTGCAAAATTTATGACATAATTTCTTTTGAAATGTACAGTATTTTACAAGTGCCAAAATTTTCATTGATAAATTTAGATCAGAAATTTATGATTTAAGATAATGATGCAAGTATAAATTGAAACAAAATAAATTCAATCTAACTTGATTTGTTAAAACAAGTAAAGAACAACAATTTACGTGTCATCAACAATTGATACTTGAATACTTGAAACATATGAGAACAAAGGAATATATATATATATATATATACATATATATAAACCGTACAATACATGGATAATGTTTTCAAACAACAACAACAAAAAAAAGGAAAGCAAATTAGACATCAGTGCTTGTTAGCAGATCACCAAGTTGATTTTCTGTATATTTAAATTTTCCACCAGTACCTCACGTACATAAAATCAAAAAAATCTTCTGAAGGATGCTTTAAAATTGTTAATTTCCATTTTAACTCATGTTTTTAATAAAAAAGTTAGAAAAACTAAAAATAAAAATAAAAAACAAACTCGGCAGCCTCCGTGAAAGTCATGCCAACATATGAATGAGACAAGGATTCTGTGTACATTTCCATGCCAGCACCACGTAAGTAGTCGTTGAGCCATGATGGAGTATGCGGCGACTGAAATTGATTCCAAGATCACATCAAGCTGTTCTAGTAAAGGGAAAAATAGAAATTATTAAAAGGGGTTAAAGTCAAGATTTGTGAAGCAAAGGCAAAAAACACGTGCAAGCTTAATTATTTAGATCAAAATATCATAGGTTAAGAATAAAAAAATCATTAACAAGCATACAGAGAAGAAAAACTAAGCGTTAATTATGCGATATTTAAAAAAACCAGAAAACAGCATTTCACTTATACAATATAGTACAAATATCAATGTTTCCTTAGCATTTTCATTCTTAAAAATTTTCCATTTAGAAAAAAAAAACAACAGCAACAACAAATGGAAAAAGCTATTTTTGCAAAAATTTGCGCTCAATTTTATTTTCAAAAAGTATTACCAGACACTCATAATAAATACAAAAATGCTTATCATCAGAAATCTTCAAATTATACTTCGTGTTGACCAATAAATACGAAGAAAATTGCACGTTTGCTGAAGCTTAAAAAAAAAAGAAAAACTGACATTTCTAGCAGAAATTTTATTTCAACGTGACGATTAACATGCTAAAACTATTAAAATACACGCATTTATAGTACAAATATCACTGTTGCTATTCTTAACATTTTTATGCTTAAAATTATTTTCTAAATTATTTAATGTAAAATAATTGACAAAATGAACCGTTTTAAAAGAACGCATTGCAAATAAATTAGCCATCATTGTTGAAAAACCTGGTGCGAGACATGACTGAGCAATGAAGCCAAGCTTTAATTCAGCTAAACAAATTACATCATCTCCACGACGCCAATCCCATGACGGAATGTTTAGTAAATAAGCCTGAAAATATAACAACGAAAATGACAGAATGTTAATGAACAATCAACAATGTTAAAAATAATTAAATGAAAGAGTAATGCTTTCATTTCCTTTTTAAATTACCACAATAAAATCAGGAATATGAATAAATTTTAGTGCATGTGATTGTCATGAAATTTTTCATAATATTGACTCATAAAATAATAGCAATTTCAATTAAAATATTTATTTTGTCTTCTTTAATTTGCATAAATTAAAATTAAAAAACAAATTACTAAGGACATAGTTACCTTATTATGGTATTGCATTAGTTGTACAATTACACGTATGTCTGAACTGTAATTTTTTATGGAAATTACACGCATTATGTTAGCAGCATCTTCAGCATCAGGATCACTGCTATATTTGTTAGCAAGTACCAAGCAAGCATCTGCTTCATCAACCTAAATCATTGTACAAAAGATGAATATTTGCTAACACAAATGCATTGAATTCAAAAATAAAATTATAATATTTTACAAAATGTAATAATAAAAAGAGCAAAAATACATACTTTAACACGAGATAGATCAATTGAATCCATAACTGTTCCAGTAAAAAATTCTACTTTTGTAAAATGCCTTTTGAAAAGGCCTTCTAGTTCAAGATCAGGAGGTACTCTAAAATAGAAAAAAAATTTTTTTAATATAAAAAACAAATAAAACTGTTCAGCAATAAAATATAATAAAATAATTGCTAAAGTTTACCTATGTAAAAATACTACTTCAACATCAACATCTTCCCGATCTTCATGTAGAAAATCTTGCAAGAAATGACTGACAGATTCATAAGTTATATAACCACAAACAACAATATGTCTGAAATGAAATATGAATGAATAAATATTCTATTAAAAAAAAGAAACAAATTTTATATCAAAATAAAACGCATTAATAAATTGGCAATTTTGCTAACAATTTTTTAAAAGTAAACTGCGCTAATTATTTATTGCATTTTCGTACTATCAAATGCATTCTAAATTGCTGCACGTTTTCCAATTTATTACAAATGTAATAATTTGACAACAATAATTAATTACAATCTTAGAAATGAACTTCATGTCTCACAAATAAAAAGAAAAAATATTGCGAACTAGCAAACAGGCATTTTAACAAGCATTGTATCTGACTTTTTGCCATGCTCGCCTTTATATTCACCTCCGTATTTTTGTCTTGATCCGATCAAATCTGCTATTTCAGGAACATAGCTGGCAAACATTGCCTACAATATAAAATATATACATTACTGTTCAAAATATAAAAAGAATCTCAAAACTAATGTTAAATTTCTAGTAAAAGAAAAAATAAAAATACATATTAAAATATACCAATCCACCAAGTATGAAGAAAACCATAAATAATCTTCCCAAAAAGGTTGTACAATAAATATCACCATAACCAACTAAAAATACTAGTAATAATTTTATACAAATTTGATTATTTCTTTTGCAGAAAAAGAAGATTTGAAATCATAATTAGATAATAGAATTCATAAATGAAGAGCTTGATATTAGATATGCGTTGTATGCAAGCACATTTTACAAATTACCACTTTAGCTATTTGAAATAATTATGCATATTCAATTGATCCGTAATCAAATCAAAATCAACAAATATCTGTTCATAAACAAAAAATAAAAGTAAAATACATTGACTTAAGTAAATTCATGCAATAGTAATTTTACTAAGAGAATTGCTTGGAACTGACTTTAATAATTTTTTTTACATACGCTATATTTCAATATTATTTACTGCAAGGATATATTTAAATCGGTAAACTTGAGTGATTACAAATTTTTTTATTGGAAATAAATACATCAATTACAAGTAAATTAAAACAAGTAAATGAATACAAACCAGTAGACATTGTGACTAGCAAAAAATAAACACAATCCCAATACGTTATTCGATGTGTATTGGCAAAATTTTTAAATGGATCACCACTATTTTCAAGCTATAAAATGATTAGCAGAATTAAGCAATAATTTGTTGCGTATCACTTAATACTTTTATTTGCATGAGAGAACAAAAATGAAACAAATCAACATAATACTAAATAATTATTATCTTTATTTGAATTAAAAGATTTTGCTACAAGAATAACAAAAGATGCTAAAGACTGAATGTGAAATATGTCAGTATTATTTTGCAAACAAAAATGATTCAGTTACCACATGAATGAATCCTGCTCCAGTCAAGCAGACTGATATGAATATTGAAAGAAGTTGAGTAAGACGTATTGAGGAAGATGTTTTGAGTACATTTAAATATTGCAAAATATCAGGTACAGTCATCAACCGTAAAGCACGTAAAAAACGTAAGCCTGAAATCTATTATTAATCTAATTCAACTTCAAAAAAATCAATTGTAATTGCAAGTTGTGGAAGACAACTTAAAAATAAAAAATTAAATAGAAAACTAAATACTTCAAATGACAATATTTTTACTAATTATAATAAATACATATATATTTTGCTACTTGCACTCAGAACATTTTATTTTTTTCTTTTTAAAATTTGATAATTTTAATGATATCATCAGAAAAAAATTTAAATAATCTATGCTTATTTATTTTTTTATCTAAAATATAATAAACACTATATACATGTGAAAAAAATTTTAATCAAATAATATACTTTCATTTTTTTTATCATAAAAATTAATGCATTTACATTTACCATATATTTGAATGATTCAAAAATGCAAAATAAACACCTAGCCAATTTCTTTCCAAATAAATAGCAACAAAACTAGGTGGTATTGTAAAGTAATCAATGAAGCTGTAAACTTCCAGCAAAAACCAAACTTTGTCAGAAGCAGCAATGAACTGTAAAAAATTCAAACACAACAACTATTATTACTTTTTCCACATGGCTAAAACTTTGTATTAAACTGTCCACAAAATTCAAAAGAATCTCTCTTTTTTTTTTAAAATAAAAAATGGGATTTTTCAAATTCTAAACATTTTTACACATATTTTTTTGATAGGGAATTAAAAAGAATCAAATTCAGTATGATTAAAAATTAAAGCAAGAATAAAGTATAGACAGAATGAATCACAAACCCTTATAAAAAAATAGATTAGAAAGAATATATTGAAGCCGAGATCGATTTGCTGTGATGGACTATCGGACCATGATACGCAAGTTTCCACTTGAAAATTTGGACTGAAAAATTTGTTACAATCGAGAATCTGTCAAAAAATACTCTTAACATAGTGTGTACAATTAAATCATTACTTAATTAGATATATTAAATACATTCGTTTTGAAATTTAATAATTCAAATTACAAATCACAATTCAGTATAAAAGTCAAAGAAAAACGTTGTAGTATTTAAACATTATTATTTTTTGTATAGATTTGTAGAAGAAAAAAGTTATTTACAAAACATTTGTAGCAAATATTTTTTATGAAATTTTAAAATTTTATTTACATTTTCAATTTAATTGGGTGATAGAAAAAAAATTAATTATACAGGAAATAAAATTAATAACAGCTTTTAGAAAATTTCTAATATTTTTTCAAGAGAAATATTCATTTTCTATAACTTCTCAATAATTTCAAATAAAAAATTTAATCTCGAACATTGTATGCTTAAATTTTTGATTATAAGCAATGTTTACATTTATTGCATAAATATACTTTTTGCATGTTTTGTTTTATAATACAAAAACTGTATTGTAAACTTATTTTATTAAAATTTTTAACGTTTAAAAATGAATTGCAACGTAAATTTTTAATTTTATACAATTAAAGAATGATGTATTACGATTTCCCTTTATATTTATTCATGCAATATACGTAAAGCAAATTTTTTAGAAATATATTTGTGTATAAAAAATTATTGCAAGTTAAAGTGTGAGAAGCATTTACTGCCATTATATTATGTCAATTCACTGCAATCATTTTGCGTTGTTTCGGTAGTTTGGCCTAAGAAAAATTTATAAAAAGAGATATAGGTGCCTTTTATTTATTATTTATTATTTATTTTTTATGAAAGAAGTGTTCTCCAACTAAATCCCATGTTCTGTAAAGCTATGATAATTACAGATGTTTGCACACTACTTAAAATGCATATTTGATTAATTTCACTACTATACTCACAATGGCAATAAAAAATGGAATATAAAAGTGATGTTTTTTTTATACCTTTAATTAATATGTTTCAAAAACTAATAAATTATATGAGGAATGATTTATTTTTACTCCTCATAATCATTGACAAATTTTGTACCCATCCAATACCCCATATATAATACATATTAAAGAAAAGAAATTGCAAATCAAAAATCAGCTTAAAGTGAGCCTAACCTAATTCAAAACCAAGTTCATAATATAAATTTGAAACTTTGCTGCTTTATTAAAAAAGTAATTAGGTTTAAGCAAAAATAATTGTACTAATTACTTACAAAGTTAGCTTATCCATCTACTAACTGAAGATTTCTGAAATTTCTTTCATCAAATATAAATGTTACTTTTGACTTTTCACTTCTTCTTGAAAAATACATCAATCACTTTTGAAAATATTTGAAAAAAATACAATACGTCAAGAACTTAAACTTTGCATTACTGAATGAATGACTGATTGTATAAGTAAAAAGTGGCTTACTGTGAGGCATCATAAAAGTAGATAATAAGAGAACCAATGGATAGAATGAATACTAGAACGACTAAGATTCGACCGGTCATACTTTGACCTGATATTAATTCACCAGCCCAATCTTTAGCTTCAGTCATCCAACCAATTTGTACTTCTTCTTGCTTTACAGCTATACCATCTATTTCACTCTTCAACAATCCATGCTTTCCTTCATCCTGTAAAAATAAATACGAAACAAAATAATTTACTTATTATTGCTTATTCATATCTAACTTTCAAATAAAATAACCATTTTTTATCACTTCTATCAAGAATTTCATTTTTTTAATAATGCAAAATTTTATCACCAGGTTCACATTTGCTATTAAAACAATTCAAAAAATTAATTAAGTTTAGAGGTCATCTTGATCATATAAGCTCATAATTACAACAAGCTAACCTGATCAAGGAGGACATCAATGTCATCCCGTTCTCTTCGCTGACAAAAAACATGTGTAACAATCCTCCATATTACAACCAATAACATTGAAACACAAAACGTCACTATACTAAAAAATTAATTTAACTTAATTGTTTGTAATAATATTATTAAGTATTTTGTGCATTTACTTTTTTTGCTAAAAGTGCACTTAGAGGGATAATTACAGAATGCAATACTGTCTTCCAATTTTTGCTGAAATAAAAGTGATTTATACTTATTTCAATTCACATTGCATACTCGATAAGAATGCACGAAGATGGCAAAATTATAAAGAATAATTCAATAGTGAAAGATTTGGATGAGACGCAAAATAATATTTGAATACTTTGCATAATTTTGTAAATGCTCAAAATGAAAAATATTGCATAACATAGCATAACATAACATTTTGTTTATTTTTATTTGTGAAAAATCTTAATGAAATGTGAATACACTTCAAACACAAAGCTTATCTGATGATAAAATAAAATAAAAGTAAAAAATTTAAGCAAGAAATGTGCAAAATGAAAAATCATATTATGACGGTAATACGCGTGAACTTGTAGTAAACATCACGTCAAATAGTATAAGACAAAAATACTATTGTTTTAATAGAGATCAAAAGAGAAGATTTTCAAAATTACGCAAGAAAAATTTTGCATCACGTAAGACATTTGCTACTTCCTTCAACTTCTCATATTGTTGTGTCAGTTTTTTCTTACTTTTCCCGCAACACAAAGATCCAAAAAATATTTTGTTGTTTGAGTAGTGCAAAAACTACTGAAATTATTAATAGGCATTTTGAATTTGCTTTTTTTTAAATCCAATTTTATTGAATGGAAGTATTTTAGCAATGAAAAATGAAAGAATTTTTTTGAAATTTCTGCAAAATTACTCAGTACTTATATTTTGTTTCCATCAAATATTCGATAATTTTTTATGCCAAAATGATGTCATGTATGAAATGAAACGTTTTGTGTGCTCTACATATTAATACGCTTAAAAGTATGAAGCAGTAAAAATGTGCTTCATGAAAAATTTACATAACATGAGTCATAAGCTACTATATATGCTGATAATAATGACCAGCAAAATTATTCCATAAGCTATTTTACTGCATTTAAAAATAGGAAAAAAAAAGAAGATTATTCATGATAAATCAGGCTAAACTAAACTTAGAGTGAAATCTACAGTATTCATGAAGAAAAAGAATTTCATGGTCTTAGATACGTTCAGCTTTCAAAAATTGAAATTACTCACCAATTTAATTAATCCAAATTTTGATAAGATTTAAATATGTTTAACTTAAAGAATCTCCTCTTATCCTCACTTACAGTATCACATTTCAGTATTAGCTATATAATGTGATAGTGAGAAATGTTTCATTATTTGTTGTGTGAAATTTTAATTTTCAATATATGAAAGCAGAGAAAATTTGCAATATTGATAAGGCATGAATAGAGTAGCAAGAAATGGAAGTAATTAGTTTAAAAGTTTAAAAATGATTTTTTCTCATTTTGCTATGTAATGTGTAATTTCATCAATTGGTGTAATGATCACGCTAAAGCTGACATTTTATAATCATTTCTGGCCTTTTTTTTATTTAAAAAAAAGGTGCAAAAAAGATTACAAATAGTTGGTGCAAATTTGTGCACATTACGTAAGAAAAAGTGCAGTATAAATATAAAAACTTTTTTTTAAATAGTGTAAAAAGTAGCAAATTTTGTAAAGACAGCGATAGGATAGGATAGCAGTGCAAACAGACAGATAGATAGATAGATAGATAGATAGATAGATAGATAGATAGATAGATGGATAGATAGATAGATAGATAGATAGATAGATAGATGGATAGATAGATAGATAGATAGATAGATAGATAGATAGATGGATAGATGCATTTAGTAAATTATAATGAGATATAAATGCATTTATTTTCTTTCATTAGATGTTTCGATATTATGGAATGCATGATTGAATAATATAAGAATAAATAAGCTAGCAGAAATGAAAAAAAAATGACATAAAGTGAAAAGAAATCCATCAATGATGTAAGATATGTAAAATAATCGAAGTATATACAAGACAAAAAGATAGATAAATGCTTGACAAGCTAAAGATTTACTTACTTACTTACTTACTTACATACAAAGTAAAAATAAAAAATAAAAGCAAAAAATGCGACAAAAAGTTAAAAAAAAAAAACCTTGAAAGTAAGAAGCACCAATATTTGCGTTCTTCGAGGCACTTGCGCTCATCATCGGTCATTTCTTGGAAGGCACGCGACATGTTACAGTGCATTGGATAACCATATGGAGCTGGTGGAAATCCCTTGGAACCACCTGATCCCGGATGATATACATCGTTCATTGTTGATACTACCAAATTTATTTTACGTCTTAAACTTCCAATCTCTTTGTTGCTAATTTCCAGGATTGCTTGGCTTAATTATACTTAAGACCACCATCACTACCACCCACAACTATAATTGCAATAAGAGTAATAATTAGTACAAAAAATAGAGAAGTAAGACTAGTGAAAACGACATTAATTAATTATCAGCAATTATTAGATATGATACATAACGATAACATACAGTAAAGAGGTAAGCGCCATGTTAAATTCCAAGGCCAAACTGTTGCTAACTAGAAGTAGTAATAATAGTAAGTAGTAGTAATAGTAGTAAGTGACCAGTATTGTAGCTCTAGCAGCTCAGATTTCGGGCTAATGATGAAGCAAGAAACTGAAACAAACCTAACCTCTTTATCGGGTCTACGCCTGCTTACTTAGTCTATCCTATTCATTTGTAGTATCTATTCAACCAACTCATTCATTTATTCATTCATTCTTACATTTATTCATCTATCCATCTACATCTTCCTTCCTTTTATCTACCCATTCAGCCTAAGCTCCATTTTTATCACAAACACTTCGCTTCCTCTTCTTCTACTTTTTTCTCTTTGGGGATAATCAATACAAGCTATGCCAGCCTTCATTCATGAACAACTATACACTTCAACTAGCTAACCAATTAACTAGCCAGTTAATCAACCAAGCATCTATCTATCTATCTATCTATCTATCTATCCATCTATCTATCCATTTATCTATCATTCATCCATCAACCTACTTACCCGTTAATCTCATTCAGCTCCCTACTCCAGATCTTTAGTCATTTTTTTTGCTGATCCCTGGCTTCACTCAAGTAAACTTGCATGAATCACACAACCAACTCAACAATCATGCCAAAAGTAAAACTTTGTAATACTTTCTCTATCCTTCCCCTCATTCTCCAGTAAAAACCAAAATATATATGTAAAAGCTAAACTAGCTAGCTCTCTTCCACTACTGCACATATACACTAATTACCCACTCACCTTTCCCATTTTCTTTCAATCACGAACCTCCCATCCATGCTTTTTATCTCATCTGCTTAAGTGCTACTGCTCGCTCACAAATCCTACCTTATCACAAGGATCAACGAATTAGCCATATTTGAAATGCAGCCCGCAAGAGCTCAGCCCCACAACCTGGCCATCTCTATCTGCTCCAAAAAAGGGACTCCAGTCTGACTAGTCTAATTTGTTCTAGTAACATATAAACTCTGTTATTTTTTGTATAATAAAAGTTCTGCATCACCCTCATTTATCTAAGCCACAAACAATTCAAAACAAAACAATGGCGGAAACATTTCTCATTCAATACTTTCCTTATCATAAAGAGAAAATGTCAACAATTTTTGAAACAAATGGGCAAACAAAGTGTACAGTAACAATATAAGAATAAGATAATTACGTCTAAGAGACAAATATCGCTTAATTGACTCTCACACTTAGAGTTCACTGCAAAAGAATAGAGATGAATTAGTTTCAGTAGAATAAATGCATCCTGCATGTAAAACGGTATAAAACACAAAACAGCACGACTTCTTGCATCAAAAGAATTATAAGTCGTATATTCTTAAATGTGCATGTAGATAACATACTATTTTATGTACATGGAAATATACAGGAATATGACAGAAATGTTTAAAATCCCTGGATATTTCGGCAGCTTACAAAATGAAACACGCATGCGCCAACGTAAGACTCGTTTACTTTATCAAATTCTTACCGACAACTTCCTCAAAATTGCAGAAAAATTCGAAATAAAGAAATATGTAGTACTAGATTAATTTAAAAACAATAGGAATTTTTTTTCTACAAATGTCGCAAGCACAATGAAAAAATTCAACCGAGTCGAAATCTTTTACTAGGAATCACGTGCCCTTGACCAGATACTGATCTCCTCAATAAATTACGATGACCAGCAGGATTACTAACTCCTCCAGCAGTATTCATTCTCTCTAAATATCCTTCCTGAAGCCATCGTACTTGAGTTGCTGGTCCATATCCCTACAGCAACAGTTTAAATTAATATTTCTTACTAAGTACATTCATCATATAAACAACGAATTGCAATAAAAAAAAGCATTTAGTATTATAATTTACACCTAAATTCCAGAAATAGCTTCGATCTCACTTTAAAAAAGTAAGATACGTCAAAAATATTTGCAGATCCAAACGTTCCACCACAGAAAACAATTTTACTTATTTAAGAAAAAGAGTTTTCAAAAGGTTCAAATACTTTTTCATTATGGGCAGCGATTCGAAATATGAATGCCGGTTTGATAGATTTATCGATGTACGCAGCATATAAATGATTAAAGGGGACAACACAAAATCGATCAGAACCGTAGTAAACGCGAGTAAAAACATAATGATTATCTTCGGAATCATGGAAATCGCGAACTGCGAGATATACACCATACTCCAGTACTTTACCTTAAAAGTATCGCATTATCGAAAAGAATGGGTACGCACTGTCAAGTGCACAGTTTGCTTCCTATTACACATTAAAAATAATAATTAACGGGAACATCAACTCAACACTGTCTCGAATTAATACTAATGCTAATTTATAGTGATGTATGACAATATTCTACAGCCATGAAACTGATCTTCGAGAACTCGGAAATCAGAACAAATTTACCAGAAATAATCTGTGGTGGATCCCATGCAAGGTATGCTCCGTCTGGAACTTTACTCACTTTGATGTTACAAGGGGCACTATGAAAACCAGGTAGAGACGTTCTAAATGCGGCTACCTGGAATGGACGAAGATTTTTAATACTTGGAGGTTCTCGAATGCAAAATAATGAAATAAATATTAAAAGACAGGACGACAAGATACAAATGACAAATTATAAGACTTTCAGATCCATTCACCTCTGACCAATTCCCTCGACCACACGCATTAACAGAAGCGACACGAAATTGGTAGGTGGCTCCAGGTTCGAGCGGAATTTTTTTCAGATAACTTCCCTAAACTTCACCACTGAATTCTACCAGAAATTGATGATAACTTGACATAAAGAACGTCAAAAACGCTATTTAAGACGAACCTTGTGGAAATATAAAACGAAGTTAATTTATAAAGTTCAATATATAAAAATTTTCATCCTTCATACAAAAATTAGATGTCAATAAGAGGCAGATTTCAAAATAAAAAATCATACTCCAACAGGACTTCCTGCTCCAGGTGCAGCTGGCCCATAATAATGGGATATAAAATGACTTGTGCCTTTAATTATTCCAACGTTATGCCAATCTAATTCTGGTTTCTGCTGAAATACCAAAAAAAAGTCAGAATTAATGCAACCCATTACAGTTAAACACAACAGACCAAATCCGGTCATGACTACAGCAAGTAAACAATAGATGGTTTCTAATCTGATACAGAAGAGGGTAATTTCTAGTCTAAATTCTTGATGAAAATGAAGAACTAGAAATCACTTTTGGAGATGTGCCACAATGAGACTTGGTTTGTTCAGAGTCTGGTTCCACAGACAAGAGCGAGAGATTTTGGGAGTCATTTGGAATCACTGATGGTACAGCCTTCATAACTGTTTCCCTACCAGAAGCAGATTTTAGTGATAAAACTTTGGGCGGATCTAGAGAGCAACCAGTCAACGATGCTGAATGACTGTCATTAGAGGAACCCACTGGCTTGATAGTTTCTAAAGATGTGGTAGTTGTTGGTCCCTTTGTATCCGTTAAGGCCGGAAGATTAACTGTAATGCCGGACGACTCATAAGAAATATGCTTCTGAGCATGATCCGCACCGGAATCTGTTTCATACATTGAAAATGAAGCGTAATCAAAAGAATTCTCAGCACTTTCACCGCTTTTGGAGTCATCGCCCTTGATTTTTTCATCATCAATATGCTGAACTTTTGTTTGTTCAGGAACTAAATCGTCCCTACGAAAAGAATCCATATTAATATCATCGATCGTTTCTTCTTCACCTCCCATGGTTTGACACTTACCTGAAAATAAACGAATAACTTGCAAATATATGAATAAAAGCAGATCAATGCATAACATAAAAAGCAATAAAAGAATGAAAAAAAAGCATAAATAAACAAGCTAATAAATAAACATAAGTGATATATATATATAATAATTCATTTATTATTCATTTCCTCATAATTTTAGATTAAAAGATATCTCAGAAAAAAAAATTCAAAAGTTCAAAGTCAAATATAGAACTACCAAGATCAACAGCATAAACCGATGCACTTTGAGCCCCGATTTGTGATTCTGCAGGGCAATTTTTCTGAGTCCAATTAACTAATGATATTCCATGTTCAGTCTCATGAATAAACTCAGATGTTTTTTCATCATCTATATCCGACACTGCTTTTTTCTCCACAATCTCCTCACAAGATGGTGTACATAGAAGCTAAAACAAGTTATAATATTAACACGTTTTTACAGGTGTGAATTTTATTTACAATGATTTTATAGATGTTTCTAAATTTATTTCTTAAAAATCTACAATTATCGATTTATAAAAACTGATTTGCCGGTAAACTAAGAAAAAACAAAAATTTCCAGTTATTCTCAAGCTAAAAGATAAATGAAACTTAGCGGTCTCACATAGTTCAAATACATTATTTGGAAAACAAAATTCAGACGAACGTGACGAAACAACATGTAATTTTACTTCATCAGTTGGCTTAATTTTGTTTTCTGCTGACATATCTTCCGTTTCATTGCAATATTCAAACGAACGATGAATATCATAAGACAACTGCTTTTCAGGTTGTTCATTCAGATCAGTTTGCACACTGTCAGTTTCGCCATCCAGAGTAGTTTCGTCAAGCAGATTCTGCGGAAGTGCCACCTAAATATCACTGGAAGTATATGAGATGTAACATGAATAAGACTCCTATGCCGTAGAGCAAGATAAGACAACTAGAGTAGATGAAAATTTTTTTCCGTTCGTTACAACCTTCTTAGTGGATTGATAAACGTTTTACGAACATCAACGTTTGGTATCACTGGAGTAGTATATGTTGTTCCTTGTGTAGAAATCGATGGCGCGTGGTCCGTAGCTTTAGTCACTGACTCCGCATTTTTGTTGCGAGATTGAACAACAAGAGATGTTTCAGATTCGGCTACGTGCATTTGCGAATTGTTTTCCGAAGTGGTATCAGGAGTAGAAATAGTAGAACTGCTGTGAGGAAGAAATGAATGTTTGTGAGGAGAGGTATATACCACTCCAGGTGTCTTGGATATTAAGACTTTTTTAGCAGCTGGCTGTTCAACAACAGATGTCTAAAACAAGCAAATGTAGTGTGAGAAAAATATTATCACACTGTTTGTTCATTTGTTATCAAAATTGGTATTGAACTTCTATAATAAACAAAGTCGTAAAACACAAATCAACGTAACAAGTTATTAGTATAAATTAGATGAAAAGAGAACTTACTGCCAGCAAATTTTTGATCAAAAAAGTTAAATAAAAAAAATCTAACTGAAGCATTACAAGCCGACCTGAAAATATAAAACTTGTACGCATATTACGTATTGCCAAAGCAGCTTAAAAGTTGAATACCAATAATAACGAAATAATTTATCAAAATTTATAGACATATGACAATTCGAAAGAAACAAAATTGCTTTTTTGCAAAATATGATAAAACAAGCATGCATAACATAAATACTGTCCATCCAAAACCCATGCAGCATGACAACAGCGAAAAAATGAATTATGCAAGCAATGAGTAGTCAAACTACCTAATATCAAAAATAAACAGCAATATTTTGAGCTGCCGGGAAAGGGAATCAAAAGTTCTACGTATAAATGCATTAGACATACTGACGTATTGTACGATGTATCCACTTGCAAACCAGATTCACGTTGGTTTTCTCAAGTACGACTGGTCGTCTGTTGCATCACCCTGTCATTAATTTCAATAATGAAGATAAATACAAACCTTCCATGTTTATAAAGAAATGATGTGTTGAGCAAGCACTGTTGAATGAAATCATTTCAAATGATAAAAACTTAAGGAATTACACGTTTCGCAATTAAAGTGTGCTGCAAACTATCCATTTACTAAAAAACTGAGCACAAATTATTGAATCATTCTGAAGACAATTGCAGATTTAACTAAAGCAATGGAAACCACTGTAAATACAAAACTATAATTTGGAGTTTTTGACAAGAATATTTCAAGAAAGTCGAACTGGAGTCATTATAATTAGGCAGAAACAAGCAACAAATATTTTGAGATTTGGTAACTTTTTTGCTCGCGTAAATGCTATATCAAGTACAAGCATGCAGGATGCGATAAGTGCATGGAAATTAGCCACTAAATGAATCTACATGAAAAACACACAACCAAAGAACAAAAATTCCGACAAAATTTTACTTGACTCAAAGAGGGCGTTGATCCAGGAACGACACGTACACTACGCATGCTATGAGACAAGATAGCTGGTCGACCACGAGGTATACTGCCGAAAACTCGCATTAATTGTGGTCTACCAGTCAGACCACTGCGAACTGCAACCACTTTTCGTGTATTCAGATTCCCTCTAATATCCACAAGACTACCTGCAGGCTTGACACCTGAAAATTCAGTGTCATAGCAGAGCAAAATTAAATGAAATTCGTACATTGCATTGCAAAAAAGATTTCATTCCCTCATTACAGTGCATTCTTTGAAACCATAAGATCGAAAATTCTTCATTCCAAATAAAAAAATACGTGAATAAACATATGATTTGATCCTACTTTCAGAAATAGTAACTTCGATACAAATCCTCTTACTATTAATAAACTGCAAGTTATCTATACTTGTGACAAAAGTTCTAGTTATGACTTTGCTGATTCAAAACCAACTGTTTTCAGTTTTTGGTTCACATTTGCGCAACTGCAAAAAATATGCGTCCGCATTAGGTACAGCATCCCAACATACTTCCAATCCTGATGGCGTGGAACGAACAAGTTGCACAGGGCCCGGGGTATCAGGTTTATCTGTTTCTAAGTACCACATATCTTTACAGCACACCTAAAATTTGTCCAAGTAGAATTTTTAATATCAATATACTAAAATGCCGTATGAAATGCATACTTTATAGCAGTGCAAAGACTGTACACCATTAACAGAATAATAATGCATGGTGAAAGTATTTGTATTTATATAATACCTGATAATTCCAAGCTTTACGATATCCATCTCTTCCCGACCAAATGTATAAACGTTTGTTGATAACGACTGCACTGTGACCTGCCCGTGCTCTGGGCATAGCAGCTAAATCCATGATTTGAATAAAAATTACATTATTTCACCTGAATTTTGAAATAACATGGCATCAGTAACGCAAAAAAACTGATCACAAGAAATTATAATCTTATCAATAACATTAACTGCACGATATTTGAAAAGCTTTATAATTTATTATTTACATTCAAGAAGTTCCGTTGATACATCATCCCAACACATTGTGCTTAAATTGAGCGAAGCAAGTGTGTTCGTGCACTTCCATTCTTTCTCAACTTGCTGATTCCTTGTATCTGGAGTGAATAAAGGCACCCATCCTCCGAATACGATCATTCTGAATAGACTATTACAGTTCACATTCGTTGAAAGATTCGAACTCGAAGTAATTTGCTATTTATTTGAACACATGGTAAACATCAAATTTTTCAGCTGCCTCTGTATTGAAAGTCTTCAAACACAAGAAAGACGTAAGTGAATTTAGAACACAATACAGCTTTACCAAAATGACAGTTTTTTTAACAAAAAAGCACCAAAAGTTATTCTAGAATAGGCAGATTTTCGAAAATATCCTCACCTACCTTTTAGATACCACATTGGCAGAATGAAGAGAACGTGGCAATGGAGGAATCCCACCTATTTCCGGTTTTGTCCACGTCATTGAGATAAGATCTAAAATCCACAAATCACCAAGTCGGCAGCCATTCATGCCACCAAATACTATCATTTTCCGATGATTACTATCATTTTCAACTATTACTGCTGAATGTGATTCACGAGGAGATGGAGGAGACCCAAATGTCTAAAATGAAAAATGAGGGACGAAAGGTTCAGAAAATTTGATTAGTAAAAACGAAAAGTGTGAGAATTCTGCACGATATTTTATCTCTGACCCATCACTAGCGTTTTTATTGTCGCTACTTAGATATATAGAGACAAGATCTTGATTACATATCAATCAAATTTTTCTGCATACTTCAGCAGCTTTAGTTCATATATAATCTATTTGAAAATTCAATGGAATGCATAAATACAACCACAATGCATAGTGAAAAACTAACATCAGGGCATTCCCATACCAACTCACTTCTCGATTTATTGAGATCCAAAGAATACAAATCATTTAAATAGCGAGCGACATTATGTTTCGGGTCTTCACTCACGTTCGTCATACCACCGAAAATGTAACAAACCTTAAAAAATCTCGTAAAAGTGCATGAAAACTTCTCTAAATATAAGTAAAAATAATCAATTTAGTAACAGTGACCTACCCGATCTGATGCAAGTGTGAAAGAATGACCCAAACGAGCACATGGAGCAGGCTGTCCAGTAGTCGGTGGTCGAGGATGCAGGCGTTTCCATTCCCATGTCGTGGCAAGAAGTTCAAAAAGATCGCCTGAATATCTGAAATCTATTAGAAGAGTTGGAATGTTGTTTTTCAGTAAAGTAATAAATTGAACATTAAGTTTCAACTTTTGCTCCAAAATAAAGATATCAAATGACATGATATAAATTATAAACCTTCCATATTCGAGCATGCCACCAAAAAGATGAATCCTAACTCCATCACAAACGAGGCCATAAGCTGCACACCCATGAGGGATGTCTCCTTTCACAGACGGTACAAACCACTGATTAGTTACTGCAAATAAAAGGAGTGCACGATTAACTGATTTTTATTAGATTACGAAATGTATACTATATTTTAATCAACTTGCAGAATGTATGATTTAAAGGAATCTTACATCATGAATAAAAGTAGAGATGCATAGAAAGATGCAGAAATAGAATGCCACAGACTACGAGGAAATGACCGGCAAAGCTGATAAGTGATTTGCAGTTCCTAACATCTAGCTGCATATCTTCGGAAACTGGAAAAATTACCTACCCGTATTATAGATATGGAGTTCATCAATAATGCCTTCATTGCCACCACCAAAAACTATCATTAAATCCTTAATTGAAACTGCTCGATGTCCATGACGAGGCCTAAAATTTCGTCAATTTCTCACATCCTTCAAAAGGAACAAAAAGATACTGAATTTGAATTTGGATCAAAATGAAAGATAGGGAGTACGATTCTCGGAATAAGAAATTCATAAGAGGGGATATTTTATAGTTAGATGAAATGCTCAGAAATATTGTGCCTCGGAGTGGGGCCTGTGGTATTTACAATTTTCTTCCATTTTAACATTTGAGATGAACTGACAGAAACTCCCTCCCATGCGTCATTCATCGTTTAATACCCAAGAATTTCGATAAAAACGGTTGTGCTCTGAAAAACTAATAAGAATTTATTCAGCTTCAGATATGACTGCCGCTGACATAACAAAGTTAATACCATGCAATACATAATGCTTAGTAGGGTCCCAAAGTCGTTAAAGTTTTATCAAGTATCTAAATTTCTGATGTTCACATGCAACATAAAAGTCTGTTACAATGAGTAAAAGATAGTAAAAACTGAGTAAAACCAAGGCATCAGTGAAAAAAAACTGCAGTTGTAGAATACAGCAGGAAGCTTCAGAATGAATGAAAAACAGATCAGACATCAGCAAATGTTTAAAAGAGTATTATTTGAATAGAATATAGCGTTATTTCAATTTCTAACGATACAGTGCATATTATTCTAGACAAAAGTAGCACTAATATAATAAATAGATAAAATAAGATGATGATTCAAATGTATGATAACGTTTAATGAGCAAAATACAGATTACCAAGTAGCCTTACTGAGCATTACATACTGCATGATTTCAAGAACGTGAGTTTATCAAGGATTAAAATGTATTAGTAACAAGCAATTAATATCACGTCAGGTGTGAAATTCAGTTATCAATAAATACGACACAATAAACATAAATGAGTAGGAAAGAGGAGCGTGATATCATAGAACGTAAATGAGAGTAGACGTGGGAACATCAAGTACCAAAAAACCACTGTCCATTTAAAGATTACTCATAGCATAGCCTATTTCCATGCTTTTCTGTCCCGACCATGACTCATTGCCACAAGTGGTTTCCCCTCCATCTCTTTTCCCTCTTCGTTCAGTACACTGTTTTCTCATTGACTTTATGTCTTTGAAATAGGAACTTTGTTGGGCGAAGAGCACGGAAGGCCCGTCTTTTTTGTAGCCACAGACATGACTTTACATACTTGTTACTCACGTGCTGTACAATTTTCACGTAAACGTAGTTTCTTTTCATGCATATAGAACTCTGTACTGATGACACAGTAAATAGCAAATTGTTCATCTCGTTGTCTATAGTCTCTGCTAATTTTGTTTTCTTTTTCCACCTTGAATTTGGTTAGTAAATTTTAGATTAAAATTGTCATAGCTCACATTTTTATTAATTCCTATATCGCTTTTGTGTACTATGTTGCATTCATGGCTATTTGCAGTAAAAAGAAGAACCATGATTATATGGAGAAAGAGACATAAGTTGATGTTACGATAATCTTTAATTAATCTGTTATCAAGATTGCGTAAGATCTGCATAATTACATTAGCACCAAATAATGAAGTATTTATATGAAGATAATTAAATTTTGAGAAGTAGTTTCGATCTGTGAATGAATGGCAAAGAATGTGGAAAATACAAGTTATCGGAGACTGGATGTGGACGCATTTGATCCAGAGAAATTCATGGACTGTGAAGATGCAGGAAGTGCCTCAATGGGACCCGATGAAAGACTTGTTAATCAGCTGTTGCACTCAGGAAAGCATTCAGATGCGTTGAAAGCATCGCTCTCAAATCCTCCTTTGAAATGTAAAAATCAGGTTTGCTTCTTTTCAATGTCTATCCCTCTAAGATATGTTTCTGCATTGCAAACTTTAAGCAAAAATGCATTAGTTTGGGATGATTGCATATTTTTTTGTAACTTATTCGAATGTTGCACATCGCAGTAACCTGAAACTCTCGTGAAGCGCATAGTTTTTGCAATATTTGGATGTTTTCTTCATATAATACGGCAAAATGAAGTTTAATCTACGATAACGAACGCTTTGCCTCGTTTTGTATTATTCGTCATGTTTCAGGCGGTTAAGGATCGTTCAACGGCTTTAGTAACGAAAGTCTTAATGAACGTAAAAGTCACTGATATGGAAGCTATCGTGAGAACTTTAACAGATGATGAAGTGAATCTGTTGATGAAATTTATTTACAGAGCAATGGATACTCAGGCTGACAACATAACCTGTCAATATCTGTTGTTTTGGCATGCGCAGGTCGGCTTTATTATCTATTTGGCGAAACATACTCATGCAAGCCTTCCATGTATGAGGGGTATTACCTGTTTTTTTGTTTGTAGTCTTCATTAAGTAGCGATGGCACGCCCAATCTTTTGCCTCCAAAAGCTTGTTCCTCAAAAGCACTAGCCGTTAGCTGCACTTACTTCACAAAAGCACCTCGTACAATACTTATACATTGTATAATTTATAGTGCCCTCTTTCATGGTTAAAATAGCTAACCTGACTTAAATATCATTTCAGGTGCTATCTCGTGGTGGATACGGTGCTATTATTCGTGTATTCTGTGATCGGCAGCGATTGTGATTTGGAAATTAGCTTTTGTTACTGCTCTATTTATAAAACTAGTCTTGTATAATAAAACTCCAGTTTCCTCATCATTCACTTCACGAATCGGAATAACGAAGGGATCCAAAGCTTGCTTACTCATCCATTGTTACATAATGACTTCACCAAAAGCCACTAGTTTTATTTTGATGTTCTCTCAGTACTTTTATAAACATGCCAACAGCCACTAACTACTATCATTTCCTACTTGCACATTGTTTAATTTTCGAATGCAGTAATTTTGTAGTTGCTATGAAGTTCGTCTCAATCAGATAATAAAATTTCTTTGTTTATGTTGTTCTGAGCAGTAAATGCATAAGTTATTCATTCAAAATCTCTAAGCCCGAAATCGATGTATCTGATAGTCGTAAATGAACGATCGGGTGAACCAGATCCACATGTACTAGTCAGTAAGATCAAATCACACTTTTTACTGTCTTCATAAGCGGGAAATACAAACATATCCGTTCATATACCACCTTTTCGAAATACATGACGTTCACCGAAAGCAGAAGCAAATGCTCCGTTAAATTCAGTAAAGCATAGACTATAACAGTTAACAACATACACACGAGGTAATGACTGATGCTGGTACCAATATCAAGCCAACTCCCTTCGTCCACCAAACGGAAGAAGAATACCTGAAAATGAACTGCAATCAAAAGAACATGAGACCTAACATTGATTTAGATAAATTAGACTCCATAATGAAGTATTTTAACATGCTGTAACGAGAAATTGTTACATCATGGAAATATACGCTAATGAAATTTACCATTGCCATCGAGTCAGTAATGATTAGCAAAATCATTGACAACTTTGCAATTGAGATGTTTCGTAAACGGACAATAACAGCGTATGTGAAAGCAACCGCCAGAATTGGTAGTGATATTTTAAAAATGAGCATGGTTGTCATAATGAACGGTGAGAATATGGATATAAAACACCGCAAGAATGTTGGATTGAAACTGTTTAAAGAAGCAATATTACCCGTTCCAAAAAATGCTGCCTCAATGAGAACAACCAAAATAAGTCCTTGCATCCATTCATTAAAACTAGTACCGTCAACAACTGAAATACTACGGTTTCACTAGCATTACTCAATTGCTGATAGTAATAATACACATAAATATAATTCATATATGTTTAAAATAAAAAAATTACCAGTTATTGATTCCGTCACGTTTTCGCGATTAAGTAACGACAAAGACTTAAATTCAGCATCACGTAAGTTTCCAAATTCCAATCGGACGTATGTACAAAGAAGAATGAATAGAAGAAGCATGAATGACGATTCGTATGATAAACTTAACAAAGCGTATGGTAACATAAGAGATGAGAACCAAGATATAAGGCGAATAATAACCGACTGCGATGAGAATAGGGGCAGTACTGCTGCTACAGGTATTGCAAGCCAACAGATTGCACGCAGAAGCATTAATAAGAGCTGAAATAATTTTATATAGCTTAATATTCTTCTTCATAAGAAATCAATGTTTAGGTGAATTAAACATATGTAGACCTTGTAATCCTTGAACATATCAACAAAAATCACAATAACTGCAGCAAATAGATGCAACATCGAATGATATCGAAATAATATTTTCGTTGATGAAAGCACTGAAGTGGAAATCCATAAAAGCAGTAATGAGGTAGAAAGAGATGATAATGCACATAGTATGGGAAGCGGAGTTTGTCCGACTACTGGGAACTGAGGGTAGATAGCAATGCAGAGACAACATATTAACCACACTCGTTTCCTAAGCAGAAGAGTGATTTTGAATATTTCGAATTAACACAAGTAAAAAACGACACTATGTTAAAATTTCCTTCAAATTAAAAAAGAAAACATTTTGTCACATTCAAAAATGTTTAGCCAGGGTAATCAAGATGTTTTTGTAATCAAAAAAATTAATGCATCTCCAGCAAATAAATCCATTGTCAACTTCATACCACTTCACCAGATCTCGGTTCTTTTCATGTCTGAAGAAAGGAAACATCGCTAATATCAAAAATTCTACTGACACTACTGATCGATGGATGAAAGCAGAAACGATAATCGAAAGGATCACGGCTGGAAAAAAATAGGGTCTATATTCAATTTATCGCATAAATATTCCGATCCCTAACCCTTAAAGTAAACCCTCAACACTTGGAAAGTTTTTTCACTAACTCATGATACTTTATACATCAAAAAATCCTTAACGGAGTTAGCGAACATCGCAGCAGTGAACTATAAATCTTAATAATCTAATTTAAGCCATTAGCCAACTTTAGTCGTCAAGTGCTTTGTGTAAAAACCAAATCAAAACAATGAACAAACATACCAACTGACGAAAGTAGCAAAAGCCAATAAACAGAAAGCTGCAGCCATTTTCTCTTCAGTTCAGAAAGTAGTTCCAAGATATCCCAATTTGATATTAAATTTCTTATACTTGAATTAAATATACCGTAATATGCATTATAACAAACACATGATAGGTATACAGGAAGTGTAAGATAGAGAGCATGAGCAAAGGGTAACCCGTATAACACTAACACAGCAAAAGTTCCACCAACAATACATATCTTTTCATTACTTAAATTCAACGAATCGACATTGTGTGATAATCTGGAAGAGCGCCTGAAAAAGATCATCGAAACTGGAGAATTATGTGATTAACTAATTTGTTTTTCAAATGAATAGAATCCTAGTTTCAGAAAAAGTCATTATTTGAGAAAATGAATACTGCCATTCCAATTCATAGAAAAACCATAAAATGGACAAATTCCTTTCACTTTTAACTTTGAAAATTATTCACACCTTTACCTTAGTGTGATGAAATAAACACATAGCATCCACGAGATAAAAGTGTAAACGACGGAAATTCCTAACAGTGTTTGATCATAACGATGAAAATATACTAAACCAGCACGAATAACTGGAATCCACTGCATACACACTGTTGCCGCCACGTCAAATCTGCGAAATAATTTTAAAGCAAAACAACTATTTTCTGAATAAATTGAACCATTATCCCTTTAACGATGACCATATTTCTGACAGAACTCATAAAAATTTTGTAAAATATATGTAATCTACTGGTTTTATGGCACACTGCCTGCATAATGTTTGAAACCTGTATAACGAAAACTTTTTAGGCTCTATTTAACACATACTTATTTAGCAAAATAACATGCAACCAACCTATTTTGTTTAACTAATTTTTTGATTTCACTTTCAATAGTAGATAGTACTTTTGACTGGAGCTTAGGAAAATCACGAAACATAAATGGCAGCGAGCGAGTTTTTTTGTCACTTCTTTTCACAACGAACTGTTCCAACATCTGTTAATATTCAACTTCAAAAATTACCAGTAATCTTAAATATCTCATGTGTTTCCACAATGAGTCATATATTTCATGAAAACAACCCGTAAAAAAATTTATAAATAAATATATTGTTAGCATCTTATGAATAAGGTGAAAAAAATCAAATAGCAACATACTATATCTAAAATACATAACAGACTCAAAAGATACAAGATTATCAATCCTAAATCCGATCATATATTAAAGTCCCACGAATCACTGCAATTCACTGTATACACACTGTCATCCTACCTGTTTGAAGTTAGCATAAGCAACTTGGAACTTATATCTGGGTGCTGCATCTAAAAGGTGCAAAGGTACAGAACCAAAACTGTTCATTGGAATCGGGCAACCCAATAAAGCAGACATTAGTGGCGATAAATCAATCTATAATGATAAGGTCAACACTACATTTTTCACAACATAGGTTATTTGCATTACACTTCAAAAAAATGTGGCACAAGACAATTTGAAAAAGTTACTTGATTGATTTCACTTTTTATGGCACTACTACGCACACCTGGACCCCAAATCAGTAGTGGTGTGTTGATTTCCGCCTTTGTACCTGCACCATGTGAGCCCCAATCAGTCATTCCGTGATCTGAGGTAAAGATGAAGGCTGTTCTAAATATACCAGAATTACCAAATAAAATGGAAAATACCGCATAAAAAATAGAATACATTGGACTAACGAAAAATGTTGGAGAAATCTTGGTAAAAACTTGAAGTAACCACTAGATTAATGTCTATTCGAAAAACGAACGGTCTGTTCTGTCCTGAATGTTACTCATTAAAAAAAAATTGACTAATGTAAAGTGAACTATTTACTAACATAAACTTGCTATAAAAAATGCTCAATTTTTCATCTGCAGCAAATAAAATTTCAGTTAGATACCATTATTAAATTTTCTTGAATTAAAAGAGTTTGCAATAGTCATTTTTCATGCTGTATCCTACAGCATAGCAAGAACTTGACCTATTGTCATCGAAGAAATCATCCAAAAGTTGCACCATTCTTGAAATGCCTGCATCAACAATTGCAATATTATCAATGTACTTATCAGATATTGGTTTATGACCGTGTCCATTTGTGTCAATTCCCAAAAGATGTAAGAAAAATACTAGACGATCTGAGGACAAGCGCTTCTTGACGGTCATATCACTGGTATTTAAAAGTTCCTAAAAGTAAAGTTGACTGAAATTATGAGCCACAAAAAACTTTTTAATCAATGACATAGATAATACGTCAACCAAGAAAAAATCAGTTAAACACAACAATGATACTTTTTCAGCATTACTTACTTCCATTTTTTGAAATACCCAACGATCAAGCCGAGCAGCATCATTTTCTTGAAAATCCTGTAATGACGAAGAATAAACTGTTGCAGTCGCTTGAACGACCTTATCTGTGAACATCAAAATAATGTCGGGACTGCCAAATGCCCACGCTTCTCGAGACCTAAAATACATTCTCGCAAATACTCTACAGCTTATAAAGAACCTTAGTAGATGATAAGATTAACAATTCATTTGTAGAATATTTTTGCACAGCTTGTAATTCTAAAAGCGATATAACACAAAATCAATTATAAATAAACATATTAACACAGTACACTTCCTCAAAACTTCATTTATTTTCAGGGATAATATGGCAATATATTTAACATAAAACTGATACTAAAACATTTGCATTATTCCCATCGTTTTCAATGCTAAAGAAGATGTTTACCTATTAATAATGCTATCGAATGGAAGAGGGTTATGTTTCCAACCACGCGTTACAGCACTCACATCTTCGAAGAATCCCGCCAACATCGCCACATGTCCAGGACGTGATTCCGTCGGAACATGGCTCACACTTATACCCCAAAAACTCTAAAGGTGACTATGTTTTGGATGAATCCCATCAACAAATATATGTACAATAGTGTCTTCAGAGTTTATTGAAATCATTTTTGTAAGAGAAAAATAAATCTGGAAGTAGAAATGCGAGCAGATATGTATCTCACTTCAGTTAAACTGATTATAACATACTTTATTCGATTCAATAATTCCATGTAAAAAAGGCGACTTTTCGGGATGGTTGAAAAACGAATCAGCTCGTAAACCATCTGAAAATAGTTCAAAAAAGATCACTTAAGTCCCGAAAGAGTTTCGTGATTTTGATGACAAGAGAATCATGCGTAGTTGATTTCGATGCTATCCAGATGCGAACTATCTAAAAACAAAACACAGAGTACAACACTACAAGATGTTCTAAACCAAATCAAATGCAGTACATCAAATACATTAAAACCAATCAGATTATCAGAAATAAATTCCAAATCACCAATAATACCACGTAAACAATGTAAGACACACCAGCCGAGAAGATAACCAGTCGATCAGCGAGTCCTTTCCCATTTGTGATAGAATGTGGGTGAAGACCAGTGACTACTGGTGATGAATAGTAAATGTCGAATATTGAATAAAGTAATACTGCGTGTACGAATACACCCAAAACACTAAGTTTGACATGTGTATACCACATTGGTCACAGGTCAACTATAAAAAAGAACGAATTCAAAAATATATGCATGACTGTAACAACATAGGAACCTTAAATCGCAATTGCCAAACAAAAGAAAGAAACAATGCTTTCACGAAAGAGCCCACAATGTTACAATGGCCACAGGACGGTTAATGCAACGGAATAAAATGACCATTCGACGTAACAAAATCGTATTTGCACACACTGATCTGTTGAATTTGCGTGTACTGCGTGTAATGTGTTACAATTCAATTCATAAAGCAATCGCCATAGTGCTTTTCATTATATCATCTATTGCTTTCATTGCTACGCACAGCAAGTTCAGAGAGCTCCTCAAACTATCTTTTAAAAGCAGTACGTCTAACCTTTTCAATTATTTGTAACTCAATACTTCACGATGATTCATATCCTTTGCTCTCCCTTCAAATGTTATGCTATTTCTAGCATTATATGCCCTAATTGATTATGTATCAAATATCAGTGTGAATACAGTAAAACTCAATTGTGATTAGTGTGATAATTATCCCATATTATCTAAACATCACACTCTTATTGATTTTTTCGATTTTTTTAAGCTAAAAAATATTAAATTCTAGAAACTAGATAGTAGACTTCATGGAATTCTACAATGTGTGCTGTTTGTTCTATTCATCTACTATTGCCAACTTTTCATGCACATTGCAAAAAAACAATATGAATTAAAATATCTACCAGTTTAAGTACTGTTTAAATAAAAAGACAAAAGCAATATTAGTATTACATCGTTTTGCTATCTTTTCATATGAAAACATGCAAGAGTGAGGCTAAAACATATCCAAATTATAATATTTGCAATGTTATTAGAGAAAAAAAATAGATTAAAATATTGCTCTGAAAGGAAAAGAAATAAATAATTGTGTATAAATAAAGCGCTAGTTTTGGAAACTTAGCACTACTTCCATGCAAGAATTTAAAAATTTGAGTTCTCGAGTAGCATCTATCAGCTACAAGCATAGTTAACTGATAAAGTTTCACACATCTAAAACGAAATAGAGAAGCTAGAAGCATAGTTAACTGATAAAGTTTCACACATCTAAAACGAAATAGCAGTATGCAACAAATAGTCTGAACTTGTGTGACTGTGTTGCAAGTAGTACTCCTCTCTGCTCTGAGGCTATCATCTCAAATATTCATTGCGGTAGATAGGTTGATTGATTAATTGATTGATTGATTGATAATGAATAGTGGGTAGTGTGTTCCAAATCGTTTCTATGCCAGAACCAAAGCTGTTGGTTTCAACTTACGTAACATTATTGTGTATGAAATGATCGATATGCAAATTTTATTGTTGTTAGTACAGCATTGAAATTTTGCACTTTATAACTCTTTCGTCATCTTCTTTTAGTTCTATTAGTTTAGTTTATCATGAGTGGTCTGGCCACTACCTTACCTATTATAATATGTTGGATTGAAGGTGGTTGTAGATTTACTTAACTCATCGCAGTCCCCATGTTTTTGAAAGTCACTACACGTCTGCTTTCCTTTTACTACTCACTACTTAGTGCTTATTGTACCACAGCATATATATTTCTCAAGATTACGCTTTTCTTCAAATACTGCTTTTGTTGGGGTCACTAAATGAATAAGTATTTGGTTTTATGATTAGATTCTCATAATGCTTGTTCATTATTTTATAGTAGTTGCACTCCACAATAAGATTCTTTTTGCGTGTGTGATTTTGGACGTTGTTTCGTTTAGCATTATTAATCAAAGATTTTGCAGGCGAATTTGGTCATAAATGACTAAAAAGATTAGTTTCTTCTACCAACTTGGGTGCTATGCTGAATTTTATTTTTTTGGTAAGTTTTTGATATTGTGAGCAGTTTCTTTTATTAATTCTATTAGAATTACTTTTAAATCAATGGAGAAAGCTTGAGATTCGAAAATGATCAAATGGTATAGGCATTTTTTTTTGGTTTTGTAATGTACTTTTGGTGTTTCAGATCCACGCTATTTCTTCGTGGTTTCAGTTTCATCATGATTGGTGCTCTCTCTTTCGACATGGGCCGTAAGTATTTTCAAATTAGTACTAGGATTGTCGTAATCCTCAAGTAATTTTCTCATTCCAGAGTTTTCACTTACATATTTTGTTTAAGTCTTATTTTTCATTCCAGCTTCATGTGGCTAACGGAGGAGAGAAGTATGCACCATTCTCTTTGTCCATCACCTCTGACAACACTGTTACCTGAGGTGGCTGCTATAAATGGACATTTTTGATGGACTCAGGATATTTCCAGCAGTACATGGATTTAATTGTAACCGGCTTGTGGTTACAATTAAAATTGTTTTAAATAATTTTTTTAACGTTATGATTTTAATTTGTAAGCACTGTAGGTGCTGCTGAGAAAAATTGTTAGTTTTGTGCAAAATTTTATTTATATATATAGGGCGAACCATATTCGCCTCTACGGTTTACCAAGCAGCAGTGACTTTCAGTGATTTTTTTAATTGAATATATTATTAACACGTTTTTTTGAAATGGACTTTCAGTCCAATCATTCTTTCTTCTGCGCATTATTTGTATTTTTCACCTCTTTTTGCTGCAGTGTAATGTATTCTTTAAATTTTTTATGTAGCAAAATTTTAGTTTTTTATTTGTGTTCCTTTTGAACATGGATTGTGAAATTGTTTTTTTTGGTGTATCATTTTATAATTTGTTTATTAGTTTGTTTCATTTCATTATATCCTTTATTCTTGTAACATTTTATTCATGCTTATGGATTCTGTTAATACTTTATTGTACCATTATAGCAAATAAAATATTTTGACTTAAGTGTTTGTCAGACATTGCAGTTTTGTTTCTATAAATTCATCTCTTTTTGTCATATTAACAACACAGATAAAAAGGAGCATGATTCTGGATAAGTAAAAGTACCGACCACATTCTAAACAATGAGGAGAAATAATTTTCATTTAATGGATTGTATCGACAAAACTGATTGGATTAGCTGCATTCCCAAATGCAAAAGTGCATTTAGGTTCTTGAGGCATGGCAGATTTAGATTCGTCAATACGTCCAATAAATTTGGATAGGACTTCAAGAGCAGAGCTCACTCTGATTAAATCACTCTATGCACAGATATTTAGTTCAGCACAGTCGCCTTATATTTGGTGATTATCAGCTTATAAGACGATCTCACATTACGGAGGATTTCAGCTGGCTAAAACCTAATTAATGAGAAGGATCTCATATAAGAATCGGTTGAACTGGTTTTTCTCTGTTGGTAGCAGAACTCAAGGAATAATGAAGACTTTTAGTTGGTCTCATCCACAATATAGCACCCAATATACTGATGAGTAAAGTTAAGTATGGTTGAAACAAATACTTAGAACAGAGATACGCAATACAGTAAATCAAGGTAAATAATTACTCAATAAACAATAACAGTTCAGAAATAATTTGTGAAACTATCTCTAGATCTAAAACCAATAAAAATGATCAGTTAGGTCGAACTGCCAGTAAAAGCGATGCAAGTAGCTGTGCTACAAATCAGAAGATGTGAACCAAATTCAGGATACATACAGTGTTTATTCAAAACCAGAAATTTTTTGTAGTTCCGAAATACCTCAGAGTACATTAACATTTTATCAACCAAATCTTTTTTTATAATCGGGAAACTTCCAGCACAATAAGTTCATCCAAATGTGGATATTATTTTGAATTTCGGCAAATATATCAGTTACTTTCAAAACAAAATAGAGTATTTACCATTTTCTGGATGTAAACAATTGATCCCAGGAAAATCTGAATTGAAACTGCAACACTTTTTTTCTTATACCAACAATTCACATGGCATATATTTCAGAATGTTTTATACCAATATTGCTTTTACTCTTCTATCATTATAACGAGTGAACACTGTAACTGACACTGATTCCTCAAAATCTGAAACTGAAGGTTATGCAAAAGAATTCGAATCACAGCTATTTAAAATGCATGAATGAATCACAAAAGATGCACAGAAAACCAGTTCCAATTGTTCACCAAATACTCGTATGAATAGACTTGTTGTTAAGGAAAATAGATACATACGGGTGATACTGCAATATTTTTTGATACACTGATAATTACATAAGATAGTTACGCTTAAAGGCTTGAAAAAAGACCTATACACATTCATCAGAGGTTTCATTTGCTGAACTCATTTCGTACCATAAGCAATGAATTACCCTGTGATTGGAACCTCTACTGTACAGCATTATCGTCTAAATCTTCCACAAATACTTCTAGCGGTCCAGACCATCTGTTCCATTCTACTCTACTCATCCCTGTTTGCAGCTTTGCGATTGCTGATCATGGGATCCTTTTTAGCAACAAAGAGAATGTCTGTGGGATCAACTGAAGCTGAAAAATTGATCGACTTTGTACCAGAGCTGTTGCTAGCCAGACCATGCCCAAATTATAATGAAAAGTGGAATGTCCATTAAAAAACACATCAAGAACAAATTATACTCAATGTCAGTGCTCTTCTTTTACTCCCATAAAACACAATACAATACATTCCATTATGACAGACAAATTAAAGAGAATAAGGAAACGTTTTTATTTCATCATATTACTTCCATTACCAAGTTACATGCTAGAAAAACTGAGAATGTCTTCTCAGCAAAACATAAATTTTCTGAGATCTATAAATAGAATTAGTTCCAAACCATATGCAAGTAATCATCTACATATCAAGACAGCTGTATCTGCGTTTCTTATTTGAAAAAAAAGGATTATATGACATTTATTTAGATGTTTGTCATCAAAATGAGCGTAAGACTAACGTAACTTTGGAAATTCACTTCAATAATAATCCACACACCGAAAGAAAAAGGAAAATCCCAAAATAAAGACAAACATGAAAGTGACAAATAAGAGAAATAATGCAAAACCCGGTATTTTCACAACAAATATCTAAATTTCCGCAACAAACGTTGACTACAAATGAAAGAATTGCGGGTACATAAAAACTCAAACATCATTTAAGTTCAAGTATCAGGTTCTACGCGAATACCTTCGAAGTTGAATCATTCATAAAAATTCTGATAACTAAACACCATCTGTATCTTCATCATCTGTAACTGGCTGACCCAGTTTAATGAGCTTTTGTCTATATTCAACTATCTTGGCGTCTTGATCGGCTAGTAATACGAGCAAATCTTCTTGTTCTTTTTTCAAAAAAGCCACCTCCTTACTGTCGTCCGGCTGAAAAAAACCATGAAATGGTTTTTAAAATCCTTATTTATACTGTAATCAAAAAAAAGAATAATTTTCGCTTCAATTCTACCATTTGATAAACTTTCTCTAAACGATCTGATTAATGCTTATTACTACAACTCACTTAACATAAAACCATTAAGCCTTTTTTCCATTTTTAAAGCTTCAAAAACCTTGACAGAAGTTAACTGGCTTCCACAATTATTGATAGGTGCTTCAGTCATTCGGGCAATCTGATTTTCGAGGCCAGAAATTTTAGTTTTTGCTTCTTCAACTTCTTTCAACGCATTTACTAACGATATTCCCTGAGAATCATACATTTGCCATCCCCGTTCCAGCTGCAATTCCAGCTCTCTGTTCTGCGAAACGAGCTCAGTTACCACAGAGTCTAGAGGATTTGGTAGCTAAAAAACAAACTTTGTAAGAATATCCTGAATGAAAGTTGAAATTAACTTTATAGTGACCTGATTAATTTGGTACTGCTGCCATTGTTCTGCCCATGTTTGGTATCTTTTTGCTTCTGACTGCCACTGAGCAACCATACTAAAATACTGTTATGTTTATTAAGTGCTCTCTGATTATTTCATAAGGGTCTAGAACGGTTGAAAAAAGAGTATTTCGTATCCGAGAAAAAAATAATCAACTTTTCCAATTTTACGACAAATTATTAAACACCACTCACCATTTATAATGTTCCATTTCCTGTTGACAAAAACTATTAATGTCGATGATTTCACATTTTTCCGCAAGTTGCTTTCGCAGTAAATTCAACTCATTTTCCTTACTATCATCCTGAAAAGAAACTATTCACATAAAAAAAAAAAACTACTTCAGATCGGTTGCTTTGTTAGATACATTTCATTTACCTTCTATTAACTATAGAATTGTTGAAAAAATATATTAAAACTGAAAATATCCTTTTCCTATTGAAAGAGATCAGTTCATGAATGAAACCTTTTGATTATCTACATCCTCTTTGAGCTTCTTCACTTGTTGATTTAAAGATGCAATAGTTTCATCTTGACGCTTTATAAGCTCTTTGTAAGAATTAAAAACACTATCATTAATAACACCACAGGAACCAGTTTCAACAGATGGGCATATCTGCTTCACCATACGACCTTGACAAAATTAATATAACAGATAAAACATGGCTTAAAAGCAAGTGCTAAAAAGGAAAAATATTATTGATGACAGCAGATCTCAAACAACTAATTACACTATTACCTCGGTCTTAGCATTCTGAAAGTTTGAATTTGACGGGGTTAACGCGGAACTTATATTAATAAACCATTGATAACAAATGACATATTAACATTCGCATGACATAATACTGAAAATGTACTGTAGTACATTTATACGCTATTAGTGGAATCAGAACTTTTCTTAGAAACCTTCAACACTTTTGAAGAACTTAGTAAAATAATAGTCCAACAACAGGTCTTGAGCCGATTTCGCTAACGGCTGCGGCTTTTGTGCTGCTTTTACATAATGTTCACTATGCGATAACCCTTCCAACAATTCTACTAATTTTTCCTTTCCAACTCGACGCTCCACTACCACATTTAGTGTGTTCTTTCTGCAAAAAAAAAGGAAAAAATTATAAAATTTCATTGAAAGAGTGAATGACAACAAATATGCACGTAAGTAAAAAATTTGATTACATACGTGTCATCATTTTCGTTTTCTTTGTCGAAGAGCAAACAGACTGTTAGTAATAAAGCTATAAGACCTTTTACAACCTGATTCTCCTCCTCAGAACCTTCAGCCCCGTATCCATCTGAGAAAAAGATGATCATTTCAAAGAATCCATAATGTGTAAAAAGAAAAAACAGAGCTAGACATAAAGCATTTTCAATATTACAGCTGTAAACAACTTATGGAAAAAGTACATTTATTATAGATACCTATATGCGTTGTTAAATACTGAATATTTTCTTCCACAGAGATGAACTGCGATACTGCCAGTGGACATTTGTACAACCATACTGAAAGCAGCATAAGCAGACCTGCTCTCGTCTGTGGTCGACGATTTCCCAAAGAAATCTTCAAAAACAATGAAATATTAAAATCTTTCAGCTTATATTAATGAATAACAATAAATCAACTAACCAGAACAGCACTAAGATGCTGCAGAAGCGAAGAAGGTGTCTCTGAAGGATTTGTAGTTAACTGAACTCGAAGAAGTTGCTGTTTGAGATGATCAGCATCCAAAATGCAATGCACCAAGCAAACACAACCCATCCATACCTGAATATTACTTGTTTAGCACAAATAGTTCGTTGACCAAATTTCAGACAATGACTTGTAATTACGAAAAAATCAGAGCTTTGATATAGAAATAATATTCTGAAATTCAACAGCATCTGTACTTGATTGAAACCTTACATGAACGTACCTGGACAGCCTCTGAACTCAAAATAGCTGTACATATACATTGGCCAGTAGTGATTTGAGTATCATGAGAAATTCCTGAAGGAAGTAATGTGTCAATGACCTGAAAGAATAAAAATCTTCAATTTCAGATTACTGAGAGGCTTATTTGAAAATATCACGAATTCCAATTTCAGCAGCGAAACTATAGTTCCTAACTTTAAAAAAGCAATTTTTAACCAAAACTAACTTTTGTTTTACCGAAGTCGTTGTCATACAAGTAACACAAGAAACAATAGAAAACAGCACAACGTAATTTAAAAGGCTGTTTGTCTGAATTCATTGATAACAGAAGTACAATTAATGAAGGTCTGCAAAATTAGCAAGCTAAATTATTCTGAAAACCCCTCATATGATACATATATACTTTTGCACCTAGACACTGAATATTGCAGTTGTTTTACTAAAATTGCCTTTATGGTATATTTTGTGCGAATACATTTTCTAATCAGCAATCCTACTTACCTGTTTCCTACATCCGTTGCAAGGCTACGAGTTGAAAAATACTCTTGATTAGCATAATTGCCGCATATGACTTCTGCAACAGTGATGATTGCTTCCGTAAGAACTTCCACAGTAACTCCAATTTCAGATAACAAAATACTGCACAAACTTTCTAGTATTCCTAAATTAAGACTTCATTCCATTTATAAGAAACACTGTGGAATCAGTGATATAAAACCACCTCATTAAATTTCAGTTATCAAAAGACTAACAGCTTAAAAAAAGACAAGAACTTCACACGTTCTTCAAATACAACCTTCGATAAATGGTAATTATAAACTTAAAATGGATTACATGTAAAACTTTTGATAAATCTAAAATACATTTCTTGGTAAGTTATTATAATAATATGATAATATTTCCATGTGAAGAATCTAACCCGTCTGTGAGGTAGCCTTTTGTGCAGCGTGTGTGTTATTGTGAGAATTATCCTGCGGAGAAACCAAGCTCCGAACAACTTGAAGCAAAAATATAATATTAGCAGTTTTTTGTTTTTGCCATTCATAATCGTGTTGTGGTATATTTTCGTCATCATCGCGACCATGCACGAAACGGTTCAAGAGACTTGCCAAACGTTGTATGAGACTGAAAATAAATTAAAGTTATTTACTAGGAACGAATTACCAACTATTCACGCATAATACTAAAATAAGAATTTGTCCAAATTTCTGGTGGATATTAACCTGGCTTCTCGAAACAACTGTTGATTCTTAGGATTTCTCCGTAACAGATTCAGAACGACATAAAGGCAGTCCTCGATGACTATACCTGAATATAAGAAATCTACATACAAGAATAAAAAACTGCCCTACTTAACCGTAAATGTTCTTTATAGAGAAGCACATACTTTCTACGGGTTCGACATCAATTACATCGAAAAGAAGTTGGAATGCATTCTCGTATGCCAAGAGCTGCTGAATTTGTGGATGTGCTTGACTTAGCTCACTCATCATCAGAACTGTACTGTTACGGATAACCTACAATAAATATAAATTTAAATAAATTACAAAACCTTATTTACATTTCTAGACATAGATTTTTGATAATATTCAAAAGAGAGAAAGTGATGCGCAATTAGCATTTATTTTTTCCATGAACATAAAATATCAGAATAAAATCTCTTAAGATGTACGAAACAATACTTCTCTGGTATCATGAAGTAAGTCCACTAAACGAGAAACTCCCATAGGTTCTTCAACAATAGCTGTCTGTACTTCGCTAGCACGATGTCGAAGTAAAGCTGTCAATAACTGCACAACTGCTCTGTAATGTCATAATAAATGAACGTTACGTTACAAGAAATGAGGATTCCATCCAAATAAAGTAGATTCTATCTATTTACTGCAATGAATTATGGCAAAAGATTTGAAAATTAACATGAGCTTCTTCACATAACGCTTTGAACAAGTAAACAATACTTTCTGCACCAAGAACATTTTAAGTTTCAGTCAACAAATTCAGCAAAATATCAATAATATAGACAACAATGAAAAAAATTGCTATAAGACAGCAAACCTTCGAACAGAAAACTCATATGATTCAACAAGAGTCATGATTGATGGAATAAACGTCTTCTTGCGAATTATCATTTCCGCGAGCCGTTCGCCTATTTCGTCACTTCCTTAAACTTATTTCCAAAGTTATCTGTACTCTTTTGCATATTTATATCAGATGTTTGCTAAAATTCACCAAACATAATTTGCTCCAAAATATTCCTCACCTTCATTAGCAACTCCATCATCGCAAAGCACAAAGACGAGTATCTCAAGGACAATAGAGATTATTTCTGAACTACTGCCTTCTTTTTCTAGAATATCCATATAAGCATTCATTCCTATAGCTGCAACGGGCAATCGCACTTTCTGAAAAATCCTTTACATTAATCCTTAAATGCTTACATATATCCCTAGTTATCAACTCTAAAGCTTTCTAACAACTTTAATGGATATCTAGTACTGTATATTGACGACATTTAAGAATAGTGAGCATAATTATATTTTTCGTTAAAAAAACCACACTTTTCATTTATCTGAAATATATAAATTAATTCTGAAAATTTCTTGAACTACACCACTTTTTATCAAGATTTCACTGTACTTTATGAATAATGTGTATGACAATTCGTTAAAACTGACCTTCGAAAGAGACCTCAAAGCTTTAAGAGCATCTCGTCGATCTTCCAGTACAGTGGATGTTTCTACTCGTTCAACCAAATTTTGCACAACTTCAGCAGCATTATCTGTTTCGCGATTACCATTTGTTTGTCCACCAAAGAGGTTCGTAAAGAACGCCATCTATAACAACTTTTTCATTACAGAGCTGTCAGAATTCAAAAAAGAAAAAAAAAACACGCACAAACATATAAAGTAAGATATTCTGGTCGGTCATTATACAAGTACAAAAAAATGAATATAAAATTTATTTCACATAAAAGTAAAGAAGTCTACGAAAATTACTGCAGTAGCCATCTAAACCATGCATAATTAATTTTAATGTGAGAAATATCTTTTTCAAGATAGAAAAAAATTACAGCAATATTTAATTCATGAACCACTTTAAAATACCACCATCTACAGAACAAAAACTACAGACTAAACTTGAATGCATTCAGAAATGCTTCAACTCATACACCACATCAGGGTTGCATAGAGAACTGTACTTGGGTGGTTTCGTGTCGGTATGCTAATCTTGTGTAAAATGGTATGATAGCGTTGTAAGCAGTTTGTCATGACGTGAGTGCAGCATGAAGGATAAGGTATGTTTCGTGTCAGGTAATATGTTGTTGAAATTTATGACCTGATCTGACTCGTATTTACTTCTTAGTGTTCATATTGTGCTTGATATATTTAATAGTAGTTAATGTTGTCATTTATGAAACATACAAATCTTAGCTTGATAATTCAACTTTACAATTTAATAACTCTTACAAGAAATCTGGTTTTTTTGAAACAGATTGAATTGTTTTCTAGAGAATATAAAAGTACTAACTGGAAAAAATGCTTTGGGACGGTGCAGTACTTATTTTAACTTAAAATAACTTTCAGAAAAGCGAAGAAAAGCTTGAAAAATATGCGGGAAGTCATGTATGTGAGCGATCTAATGAACTTCCCATTTTTGATGACTGCAAAAGCATTATAGAAAATCAAATTGTTTCTGTTTCTTCTCAGTCATTTCATGTTCTAAACGTTTGTTTACTCTATATTTATTGATCTGATAAAAAGATTTTCATTGTTTGCAAAAATTATCTTAAAGATACGAAGTTTTTAGTGAGAAAATTAACTTCATCAGCAGTTTCATTTTAGGACTTACCTAAATTGTCGCTTCCAGCATTAATTCCTGTACAAATCAACATTAGAACAGTCAGGTTGCATAGAAATATATGTGGTAAATACTTTACTATATAGTTATGATAGATGTTTTGTGAATGGAACTGCAAAAAATTCATTATTCGAGACTTTATAGTACTACCTATGAAAGTACCAAACTTTTGTATAATCAAATTATAGGTGATTTTGGCTTTAGTATTCGTCGCACACAAATTCCGGATAAACTTGGAAAGCTGCAGGCTGTTACTTTTGTGGAGCCTGCTAAATTTCGTGATGGTCCTCCAAGACCGGATGATATTTTGTATGGACTACTTCCTGGTGATCAGCTATTACGAATCAATGGTACTTCAATTGAAGTTTTTAGTCGAAACGATTTATCAGCTCTTTTGGAGGTCTATTATTGCTTCAATATTAACTTTTATTTTATATGTAAGAAGAAATATAACTTTCTTTGTTTATCATACTTAAACAATATTTTCATTATTGTAAACACTTCCCATAATTTTTTTATAGCACGAGTATTTTAATTTATAATTACAACAAGGTAACAGTAATCACATTTCCAGCACTGTGGTCCAACTATTGAATTAACTGTGAAAGCCGCACCAGAATTAGCAGAATTATGTGTACGTAATGAAACTAATCATTCCGCTGTCAGCGATTCACTCTTGCTTCCCACAACTCCAAATTATCATGATGATATGGTATAGAATGACTCATTGTTTGTGAAAGAATTAAAAGTAATTGAGTTTTAAAAATCAGATCGTGGTCATTATTTGTAGTTCTGAAAAACTTATAGGGCACACCAGAAAATGAGCGTTGCTGGTTAATACATAAGAATGGTTTTACACTTGCTCGTTTATTAGAAACATTATCAGATGGAAGGATGAAAATACGAGTGATGAATTTAGAAATGGATGTTGATGTAACAGATATTGATAAAGCGAATCCGTCTAGTCTAGATCGTGCAAAAGATCTCATCAGGTTATCTTATTTTAATACGCTATAAAAAGATATAATTGTAGCAAATTTTGTTTTCATTCAATTTCTGTCACTTGTTAATTCTATATCGTTTTTCTTCTTGTTTTAGTCTACGCTACATTAACGAAACAAGCGTTTTGCACGTTTTGCGTCAACGATATGGAAGTAATTTATTTTATACATACATTGGCCCGCGCAATATGATATATTTGGCTCCAGAAGATCCAATGATAACTAAAGCTGTGTCTTTCTTCAAAGGTTGTAGGCGCCAGCAAATGCCGCCACACATATATTCTGCTTCACAACAAGCTTACAGGTTTAGGTTTTTGAATAACTTGGTAATTTACATTATCTTCATCTGTTATTCAGCGCCTACGGTTACATTCCCTTCACAGTTCATTGGTTTGTTTATGTCATCATTTTAGAGCATTGCAAATGTCGGGAAAAAATCAGTCTATAATACTCTCAGGAGCATCTGGTAGTGGAAAAACTATGCTGATGCAAAATATATGTCGGTACTTTTGTGAAGTGGCTGGTTGGACCAAAGTATTGTCATGTGCGTAGACAACTCTCCATTTCATGTTTTCATTTCATTTTTTCTGTTATTAAAAACAAGTTTTCCCATCAAAAAATACGACTTTTAGTGTTTTTATGTGTAGTTTTGGTGTTTGAAAAAGTATAAAAAATCGAGATGCAGAATTTCGAGATAGCAACTTTAATTTTGAACGTTTAAGGCCCAATTTATTATTTATATTTTTACGAGTTCAGTCTTGTTCTTGAAATCACTTTTTTTTAATGCATGTGTCCAAAAAAAGTTAACTATGTCTGTCAATTCCAAATGATTTTATATTTCAGATAACGTTATATCTTCTGCACTTTTTGTTTTGGAATCTTTTGGTAACTGCAGCACTAAAGCTAGCAAAAGTTCTACTAGATTTTTGATGATGTTTTCGCTTTCGTTCGATGCAGTTGCGTCATTAAAGTATTTAATACAGTGCTTCAAATTTTAGATTTAAGATGAGAGTTTTTCTTTTTTAAGTCTAGGTATTATTTTTTGATCACATAATAAAAGTATCATTTTATGCCTCTTTTGAAAATTAAACTTCAAAGTACCGACCCTTTCATATTTTTGCCCATTCTTCATGCTGTAATTTTCGTTCTTCACAATACGAAGTGAATTTAACTAAATTTGGTAAATTTTGTCGGATGCTGTTATAGCAGGTTTACCATCATTGTTTCTTCTACATACCACTTACTCTAATGGAATTTGTTTTCAGCAGAATATGTGCTAGATTTCTGATTTTTTGTTTTCAGGAATGCTTTCGTGCAAACATTTTTATTAGAAAAATTTCGTATTAATCGATGTATTGCTGATGGAGATGTGTTTCATGTTATACGCTATTTCTTAGAAGGACCTGGAGCAGATCTGATGAGGCCGTTTCAGAAATTTAAATCAACAGAAATTGCATCCACTGAGTCGCAAATGGTATTTTTGTGAAATCGTTTCTTATTTCTCTCTTCTCTTTGAAAATGCTTTTTTAAATCAGTTGTACATTTGTGAAGTCTTGTGCTGCTTACGTTTTTAACTTCGAATTGAAGAGTACAGTTCTTGTGATGTTTGGAAACTTCGGTTTTGAAGTTACGATTGTTCAAAATTTTGTATTTGTTATTCCAATTTATTTGTTGCAGAAGTGGTCAAAATTAATGGATTCGTTTACTGCATTAGATTTCACTGATAATGAAAAGAATGCAATTACATCTACTCTAACTGCTATTATTCATTTGATTTGTGCTGAAGCGACACAAGGAGATGCCAGTAGATCACAATTCATACGCCTGCAGCATGCCGCGGAAGCTGCTGCATCTCTGGGGTTGGAAGTAGAGCATCTTGCTTCTGTGGTTTTCCGTAACAGTCTTTTGCAGACCTCATCCAACAATCCAGTTAGGTATTGAGAACAAACACGTCTTCATTTATCTCTGTATGCTTTGTGACTGTCGTTTCATATCGAGTAACATGTGAAATTAATGCTTATTTTCCTTCCTAGTTCTGTATGTTCATTCATAGTAGGCAAACAGGCAAACATGCTTCCATAGAAGTACTGTTTAGCAACATATAAGAATGTCTTGATATTGATGATTCGATATTCTCAGTTTCTGTTAAAAAAAATGATACAAATTCTATTGGAAATTGAGGTTTTCTTGGTATTTAAGTTACTATATTAATAACTCGTTTCTGTTGTAGTCGAATTTCTTTGTCGACACGTAACCAAACTGGACAGGAAGCGTTAAATCGATTCATTGCTTGTTTATACAAGGAATTATTTGTTGCGGTCACTCGTCTAGTGAATCGTCGTTTAGGAGGAGGTGGTTCGACTTCATTATCTACTATTACTATCATCGATTATCCTGGAAATGATTTTGGATCATTCATTCCGGTACATTCCATTTTTCATTCTTCGTCTACAGTCTTTTGTACTTTCTTCTCTACTGCAGCAAAATTAATTGATTTCAATGCACTGTCATTGAAATCTGGAAATGTTTCTAGGATGAAGTTCATGTAAGAGGCCTTAACGATTTCTTATACAACTATGTTAACGAACGATTTGCGGAGCTTTATTATGACATGTGTTTCATTGAACCTCTCGAAAGACAAAAACGCGAACAAGTGGAAGCGCACATTGAGCAAACTCAGAGTTCTCCGCATGAAATTTGTCGCTTAATTGATCAAAGACAACAACTGGTAATTCTTTTGATACACTTCACTAAAGGATTTTTGAAGACATTTCCTGATGAAACTTGTATATAATGTAACATATTTATTTGGTTGTACCATTCAATAGACCTTGCCAATAAAACGGCATGTAATGCTGTACAAAATATACTGTTGAGAATTCACTTAATTTTCTCATTATTGTAGAACGTGGAAAATTTTACGATATTTGCATACAGTATGACAGGATGCTTATTTTTGTTGAATGTAATGACGGCATATGTAGATATATGATTCGATTCTATTGTATATTTGTAAAGTAAAACATTTTCCAAGGTATTTCTATTCACTGGAATATTTTTCAGTCCAACTGTGTTGATATTGAATTACGAAGTACTGAAAAACGGGGCTTATTGTGTATTTTGGATGAGGAAGCTCTGTTTCCAGCAGCAACCGACGACTCTTTTTTCGAAAGAATTTTTGTTCATTTAGGAGACTCACGTAGGTTTTATTTTTATAATTTCATTGAAAAGTAGTATTTAGTTCTTTTTTTTCAGATTTGATTCGTCGAGGCACCAGGCCACTGACTTTTGTATTACGTCATGGTCTTGGGAACAGTGCAGTTACATATAGCGTAGAAGGGTGGATAAAAACAGCACAGTCAGGTTATACCGACTCTTCGTTGGCTCAGTTACTATGTTCTTCTAATAAGTAATTTTTGCTCACAAATTCTAATCACACATGTAGTCATTATCATTTCTCGTTCAGTTGAAAATTTTTTTAATATCATAACGATTTTTTAGTTTGTTTAGGATTCATGAGACTTACTTGTCTTGTGGATGTCTGAAATTACCATATATTTAATTCCGTTGATCAGTACGCCAGTACTTGATTCACAGTTATGTCTAATTCATGACATTAAAAATCGGGGAAATGATATTTTGGATTTAGATTTGTCATGAATTGCCAAACGAATACTCATGGTATATTTTTGTTTAGATCTATAATTAGGAATTTGTTTGTCCCTATTATTGACCCCTTGGCTGATAATACAAGTCTAAAAGTGCGGAAAGCAACACAGACCATAAGATTCGATGCTGCTGGCATACACATGGTTTCTGGATTTTTTGCGGATTTTTGCTTTCACTTGGTAATTTTTTCATGTATAAGGATAATTAAAAGCATTTTTTGTTTGGGGATTGTATTCAGATTATTTAGAATGCTCATTGGTCAAGTTTTTTATTGATATGTAAATAGTAGTTCAAAAATATTGCAGGATTATATCTTATCTTGCGTTAGGAAAACAGCTGGCCTTCATTTTGTTCACTGCATTCGACCATTATCTGTAGTTGATGTACATATGCAATCAGATGAACTTCTAAACGTTAATTACGTTCGGAATCAACTACGGTATTTATCTTTGGTAGATTCAACTCGTGCTGTAAGCCAAGGTGATGCTTAGTTAAAATATTTATTGTTTTGTGTTTGAGGCCTAGTTTTTCAGTATTTCTTTTGTGTTAATTTCTGCTCTTCATAGTTTTTAGGAATTTAAAACTAGTGTTTTTCAAGAATGTTTTATTAAGTCAATTAGCATATGTTTCAAAGAAGTTGGTGGATTAAATTGAATATGGTATGAAATTATCAATACTGTAGATTTTCACATTTCTAGGGTATCCAGAACAAATACCTTATAAGTATTTTCGATGTCGTTTCCAATGTCTGCTCACGGAAAAGAATATATGTCATGAGTACATAGATGATCGAACAGTTTCCGGCAAGATATTGAAGCAATGTGGAGCATTTCCACATCGTTATCGATTAGGATTAAGTCAGGTTAATAAAGAATTGTCACTTTTGAGAGTATGCATTAATCCATTGTATCCTGTCGCAGTTCTCACAAATGTCTCTATTTATGGTGGTAATGTAGTTCGTACTCGCGTCCATGAAAAATTTAATTTATGTAATAATAAGTATATTCAGGTTCTTTTGCGAAGTGATTTGTTGGATGAGCTGGAAGAACGTCGGGAATTGTGTTTGAATGGACTGATCGAGCACTTCCAGCAAGTTTGTCGCAAGTATTTAGCTATGAGATGGTTATCTAAACGGCGTGTACAAGAAATAGCAATACGCTGTATACAAAGAAATGGTCGTGCTTATGCTAAAGTGCGTGAATGGCTATGGTGGCGTCTTTACATCCGCGTATTACCACTTCTAGTGGCAACAAGGTCTGCTTTATAAACCTTATAAATTAGTCCTTCGTTACAAAGTACTATTTTAATTATGAAAAACTTTAAATTTTAGAAGTGATCGGGAGAATCGTGAGTTGGAACTAGAGCTAGATGCGAAAGAAAATAAAATACAAGAATTACGAACGGCAAAAAATCGTTTAGAAGCACGTCTTGCTGAACTGGAACACTTGTTAGCATTAGAACGTGGAAATACGCAAGCTGTAAATGATGCTTTGGAAGGAGAAGTGGAACATCGCCTTCAGACTGAAAAGCAAATGTTGATAATGCAGCAACGTTTAAATGGTCAATTGATTATGTAGCATTCTAAGTGATGTAAAGTAGAGAGATGTACATTCTGGTTATTAATTGAAAGATTTATAGATTCTAGAGATGACTCTCATTTGTCTTCCTCCTGCTCATCGCATTCACGGCTTGATGCGAATGTTCACTTAGATTCAAAGGTTGATTAGTTTTAGCTTAATAATTAACATTGTGCTACATATTAATTGTTCATGCAACATCTTATTTTACACCAAAATTTTATTTCTTATTCCTGCTATTTAAATGATAACGATTCAGAGACAAAGTTTATAGTTATTTTAAAAAAATGAAGTACTATTTGTACAGATAAAGGAGTGGCAAAAAGAAATCGCAGCATTGAAAGAAAGTGATTCAGTGCAACGTTTGAGAGCACAGAAAGCAATTCAGCAATTAAAAGATGTAGAAAATGAGCTGAAGGATCTGAGAGCAAAAAATTGCGCATTAGAGGAAAAATATGCGAAGTATACATTAATCATCACTTGCTTTTATTCAGTATTTCTTTGTAGCAATTAACGTTGTGCTGCTTTGCAGTTTTGATGTGGACTTAAAAGCTGCAAAAGATTATGGCGAAAAAGAAAAGCAGGGACGGACTAAAGCTGAGCATGAGCGAGAAGAGGCTATTTGTAATAATGAAAGACGTTTTGTAGAATTGCAAGTAACCATTTATTTTGTTTAAGATCGTGAAATGAGGAGTTTAGCTCACGATAGTATGAAGGTTGAACTCAAAATCATGTCCCAAATAGTTATGGTAGAGTGCGGATTTCCGTTTCTGTGATATTACTATAAAATTGTTTTTTGTTTGTTCTATGTCATTTATTTTAATTTCTAGTCATTTTAATTTCAGTTCTGTTGAGCAGTTCTATACTTACCAGCAGAAAAATATTTTTCTTAAATTCAAATGGTTTTTTCGCAGTTGTGTTACTGGTTATATTTTCATAGGATTTGTCATGTTTTCATGGTCTTTCAGAACTTGAAAGCTGAAAATGGTGACTTGCGTCAGAGTGTTGCCAAACTTCGAAAAGAATTGCAGGAAGTAAGCGAAATTAAGGAGTGTTGGACAGGAAGTGAATTAAATACATTGCGACAAGCAAAAAATTCTTTGGAATTGAAGTGCGCAGAACAAGTAAATATTCTAATGTTTTATTCCATTCGAGTTCGTAATTCTATCAGTACTCATTTATATTGTTTGTAGGAGGAGGAACTCGGTGAGTTGACAGCTAAAATGAAGAATTTGGAACATACACTAACACGACTCGAAATCACAGCAGAACGTAATCGAGTAGATCGAGCGCGAGATTTAGAAGTGAAGGATAATGAAATTGATGAACTGAGGTCACAGTATCAAAGAAGGGTATTTTCCTAATAATGCTTTATTTTCATTTTGTAATGAAGTTGATGAAATTATAAAATTCTGTCATGATGAAGATTCAAATTTATGCCTTTCTTCCGTGAGTTGTAGATACGAGCTTTCGAAGAGCAAGTCGCGGAATTGCAAGATACAAATTCATCTCTTGTTAAGCAGAATCGTATATTGGAGGCACGTACGCGTGATATCGATAATTATAGTATCAGGTGAATTATGATTTAAAAATGAGGAGTATTCAATATGCTAATAAGAAATGTATGGTAGTAACAATGTTTAAGAAACATACAAAACTGATCTCTCAGATATGGTTAGTGCTTTATACTTCTTATTCTTTTCTACATCTCTCCTACGATACTTCTTATTCTTTTTTAGCTTGGAAACATCATCGGGTCATTACAAACGTGATCTGAAAAGAGCGCTGGCTCTCTTGCGAGATACACAGAAGGCCTTAGCGCATGAACGAGAGAATTACATGAGTCAGTCTGTACTTTCTCAATTGCAAGAGCAAGTGATGGACGCCGAAGCTGCAAAGTTAAGTGCACTTCGAGGGCGCCATTCTTTGGAGAATGAACTTTCAGAAATCCGTGCCCAAGTGAGTGAAAATTTTCATCCAGAGAAGGCCATAGAAACATCTGAATCAGGATGTTTTATTTTTAGGGTTATCTTTCATATTATAAATTGAATATACATTAACTTTATGTATAGTTGTGGACATAGTGATTTTTGACTTGCAGTTAGAAGCAGCTTTGACGGCGAAAAATTCCGCCGAAAATAAAGCACTGATACTTTTGAAAGAAAAAAGTAGTGCTTTGGCATTGGTTGAAGAGCAAGATGAGCAAGTACGAATATTGCTGAAAAAGTATAAAGCAGCAGTACAACAAAGTGCAGTTGATTCTATAAAAATAGCAGATCAGTTGGAGCAGGTATATTTAAATATTTGGCAATCTGTGCATTATTTAATGAGCAGTCAGTTCTAGCCGTCATATATTATTATTATTAGGATGTTTAACTTTTTCACGTAACAAGCAATTTTGTAAGAAATGATCAATAAATTTTGTATTTTATCTGGGATTGAAGTGATAGCATAGAAACCGATATTAAATGTATCAAAAAATAGTTTTTCAAATTAGTTTTTACAGTTTTTATAGTTTAGAAAAACATCTCAAGCCACGTTGATTTTCAGATTGCCGAGTTACAGGAAGATAGAGAGAAGTTAAGAGAACAACTCAATGATGTGTCATCTTCTCTAGAATATCATCAGCAACATTCAGTTGATAAACATAAATTGTTGTTAGCTGAACAGAAAATACGTGATTTGGAATCAAAGTTGGAATTAGAAATCTGCCAGAAAGTTAGGATTGAGGTAAACAATAAAAGAATGATAAGTCATTTTAAATAGTTTTAGCTCTTTAAGTGGAGTTTTAATTATTTATTTCTTTTGAGTTTATTTAAAATGATATATTAACTGTAGTTTTCAATTAATATATTTAGTTTATGGACATGTACGCATCATCATTTTTTTAGGCTTTAATGATAAAAGCAAACGACGAGGTGGAATCATTAAATGATCAAATTCTAGAATTCAAAAGCTTGCATGAGAAGGACCTTAATATTAATCAAAAGCTACGCAAGGACGTCTCCATGCTTCAAGATCAGCTAGAAGATTTGCGTAAAAAAGAAATGGACCTTGTTCATCAATGTAGCCAATCTGTAAGTTCTTCCAAATGTTTGGGTTGCTCAATAAATTGAAACTTATTACGAACCAAAAAATCTGGCCAAAAATTTCTTGTTTTGTGAGCAGCGTGTTATAGTGCTTGTATTCAAAATCAAGATCTATATTGTAATAAAATAATAATAAATAATAACCATCAATAATTTTTAAAAAAGTTTTGTTTATGATTTAAATCCAAGATTCCCACAGTAATTATGACTAAATAAATTGATACTGACATAATATAACTAAATTAGCATGAACTGAATCAATTCAGTATATGCAAAAGTATGGGCAAATTAGCAAGCTAGCTAAGTTTATGAGCATAATATTAGTGCTTAACCTTGAAAACAGTATTTTGCATAATTAATAATATTAAGATTGATTAAAAACACTGACATACTGAGTTGGATACTATTATGACCACAGTCTATATCTAAAAAAGCAGATTTGAATGTAATGAATTTTTGACTCTTGCAATGATGTATATTGTGTTCACAATACTTGATTGTTGTTATCAAGGAACTTTTTGAGGTAATGAAATATGAAAAAATGGAAATGGAAAACCATAACTTGGTGCGTGATCTTCAGTGTGCTAAAAAACGCATCGATGACTTGCAGAACGCACTGAGTAGCACATTAAGTGATGTAGAAGATGGTTCAGAAAATGAGGATCTTGTCTTAATTCGGAATGGATCACTTACAGGGTTTGGTCATGGGTTGGGACATTTTGAGGTTTTGTAATAATGTATCCTATACTGGATTTGAATCCATTCTCAGTATGGTGTGATTGAATTCATTAAGAAATAAATAGATCAAACTTTTATTAAGTTTGGTAGTTTTCTACGAATTTGCAATTTCGCTTTTGTCTGAGAAGTTTTTGCAACTATGGAGATTATACTGACAATTAGGAATGCTGAAAACTAGATTGCACCTCAGTTTTTGAATTATTCCGTATTTGACGTCCAGTTTTTTGCAGCATGAGTAGTGCATGAAGCCCTTCGCTGCTGTTGTTTCTTGGAATGAATTTGAACTGCATACGTTCAGGAAGATGGACCATATTAGTAAATGAAGGTGCTCAAGTTTAATGTTAAATTCAATTGGGATCTATTTATTTAAAGGATTCTGTCTGAAGTATGAAAACGCATCAGTATTATTGGTTTTATTTTTGGATTAGTTCGGTATTTCTTTCATGTTTTATCATATAGAAAGAGCAATTAACAAAGTTCGAGGTAGCGGTTGCCTTGCATGATAGGAAGTGGCAGAATCAACTTATTAATCTTAAAATCAGCTCTGTTACAGATACTGAATTTATCCTTCTACTTTCAAGATATTAATTGGAAGACTTTGCTGAAAGGGTTTGGATAGAAAAGTCATAAGAAATTTAAAGATAGAAAATTTTTTCTACACAATCGGACTGTTCATAATGGTTACTATACATCACATAGCTACGGACTAATAATCTATTTTCACATGTAAACTTCCCGTCACATGAAAATTACTGTTTTTCTTTGTTTAAATTACTTAAATTTGGAATGCCCACGCATACTTCCATAAAATCAGGTAAGGAATTGTGCGTTGCGTAACCAATTCTCATTGTCATATCACTTGTTTATTTGTTCCCTTCAGATATTCTGTGGAATCACCATGGAAAATACCATAGAATATCTAGAATTAGTTTTAATGTATTACGGAACCTAGTCTGATTTTCTAAAACAGCTTGTCAGTGTTGTTCTGATCTTGATGGTAACTGTTTTTAGATGCCACAGAAAATTGTTATGGGCTGCTCATGATAACAGTCATGATCTCGTGAAATTCAATAAAGATTGTGTTGTCTTGAAACCATAGTTCCTCTTATAAATGTTCATGATATTGATGTTAAATTAACTTACATGGGAGTTGGGTATCTCGGAAAAACAAGAAATGTGAGTAAAAGTCGACATTTAGCATAGAGAACATTTTTGCAGAGGTAAATGGGAAGTCGTTGTGTAGCATGATTTTTCACAAATATGGTGGCTACGCATTATTAGCAAAGTTGAAGAATGACTATCGTTTAATTTACTAGGGGTGATACCGCAGTGGTTCAGGATGAATTGGATAGCAAGTGTTTCTCAACTAAATTTCTGCTTAGTGTCATTCAACTGGTCCATTTGTGCATATACTTAGTGAGATGTAGATCTAGTTACTACTACTAACCTCTTTTCAAGTGTTTACTGGCGAGTTAATGAAAAAGGAAAGGGCATGTTAATTACCATTATTCCAACCCATGTGGGTATGGTGGGCGACACTGACCACTCTGACTTTGTGGTATTTTGAATTGCACAATGGTATTATATAGTAGTAAAACAGCCCGTTAGTACCTTATGATTGTGGTATTGTGTGTTTCGGTTTTCAAGGTTAAGATGATCTTAGTATAGCACCGGATGCGATCCATGTTTTGAGTTGGGGTACTCTTTTGTTTCTCTTTCATTTCAATCATGTTTCGTATTAATTCCTTTTGAGATATTGAAAATTGTCGTTCACATTGTAGTTGCTAACATGTTTTTTTTGGTAATAATTTCGAAATTTTATTTCTGGTATTGAAGAATCACTCACACTGAGGATTTAGCACTTTTGATGGTGTTGTGTAAAATATTTGATATTTTCCGTTTTTTGTGATCATGTGAACAATTGTTTTGTTTTATATTCGAAATTACAGAATTTAAAATTGATAGCATTGCTACAAAATATGTGAAAGCTATGGCTGTTCATTATAATTGAACCATACTCTTTGATTTTTGCGCAATTTGCATGATGCATAAAGTATTTATATCTATGGATTGTGTTAATTAATACGTCGTGATTTTGCTTCGCAGAACTTCCGTTTTATATTGGATCTTTTTTGCAACCAGTAATTTAAAATGTTTATATATTTAAATATAGTGGTGAGGGGAGTAGTTCATCTATTTAGCGTGGTTAATTGTAAATCATAAGTTATTGTGTTGCTGTTGCACTGCCTTGGGTTTTCGTACATTTAGCTAACTCAGTATTTCATATTCTCTTTTTTAACAGCAAATTGATAGCATCAAATTTCATCTGTATTTAACCGTAGTACTATTTAATATCTCTGCAGTTTACTTATTTAACAAGAATGAAGTTAGAAATCAAGTATTCATTTGTTCTTGAGATTTAAAAATGGTACAAAGTTGTTCCATTAATACAGGGTCTTTTTTCTCTCTGTTTATCCAGATATAATTTGTTTGATCTCATTATTGAGGTAGTTTATCGTTATTAACTTTTTTTTTTTAAATATATCGTTGACTGCATCGATGTAATGTGGTTCATCATTTTATTAGTGCAGTATCCGATACACTTGTACAACCGACCGATAACTCATCTGGCTTCTATTTGGTACGGATGTCAACAGTTTCTTCATATACTATTTACATTTAAAAATGGTTCCATAAATTTTTTCACCAAAAAGCTGAAGAAACAAAGATGTCAATTGAAGTAGTAATATTTACCTTGCTGTGAGAGTAGCTCTTATCTGATCTAGTCATTATTTTGCAAGTGATTTCCTGTTTGATTTGAAATCAAAACATGGGAAAGTTGCTGTCGAAAATATTTGGAAAACGAGAAATGCGAATATTGATGCTAGGTCTAGATGCTGCTGGTAAAACAAGTATGTTTTACAGTTTCAATTTATATTGAAGACGTTATTATCTCTGGCAATCCACTGACTATCTAAAATTTTAGAGTTTTAATTTCAAAGTAAATTTTTACGGCACTGAGATCAACTAATTATTAAAGTAACACAATTACACATGTATTTTAATATAATTTTCAGCTATATTATATAAACTAAAGTTGGGTCAGTCAGTCACTACGATTCCAACCGTTGGTTTCAATGTAGAAACAGTTACTTACAAAAACATCAAATTCAATGTGTGGGTAAGTATTATTAATCTAGCATTATTTTTGATGGTTGATAATGTTTGGAAACGTTTGATTGACTGACATCGAATATAATGTAGGTCTTGTATTTGAAGGCTTTATCTTGTGGTAGTTTGTGTAATTTATTGGAATTTCCTTTTTCTCTCGAGAATATTTGCTAAATTAATGAATTATTTTTGCATTTTTATTCATTGCATTCAATTAAATTGTTGTAGGATGTTGGCGGACAAGATAAAATACGACCTCTGTGGAGGCATTATTATACAGGTACGCAAGCATTAATATTCGTGATCGATGCTGCTGATCGGGAAAGAGTTGATGAAGCTAGACAAGAATTGCATCGAATCATAAACGATCGCGAAATGAGAGATGCGATCATACTTGTTTTTGCCAACAAACAAGACCTCTCTGAAGGTTTCATTTTTCGAAAAATAGTTGAATTTTAAAATCAGAAGCTGCTTAAAATTTTTGTCGGTGCGATAACATAAGACTGTACTTATACAAGTTTACTTAGACCTTTAATTACAATGCAGATCTTCCGAAAATTATGAAATAATTTGTTAGAGATTATAGTACTTAGTATATAGGCGCATTTTTGGAGATCTCATGGCATCCATTGTGAAAGGCTTGTAAATTGTTCGCGTGTTAATGGTTGCATTCACTGTATCTAGCTAGTGTAACTCGTAATTGATGCTATGACTAAAGTTTTTCGAGTAGTATGAGATCACTGTGCGAACTTTTTATAATCTTAATATATTTGCAGCAATGAAACCTCATGAAATACAGGATAAATTAGGATTGACACGAATTAGAGATCGAAACTGGTACGTGCAACCATCTTGTGCTACGACAGGTGATGGACTTTATGAGGGCTTGACATGGTTATCATCAAATTGTAAGCCTTAGATTATTTTTATTTGTTCATTCATTGAAGCCCTAGTATCGTCTTTAGAGTGTTTGTGTTTTTTTCTGTTCATTATACTTCATATATTAGTTTAACCACATTTTGTACTATATGGTAATGATAATATTTATAATAATCGTGGTTGTAATATTTCCGGTTTGCAGCATTTCAGTTTCACATATCATTTCAGAAATTAAGGCTAAAATTTCGACACTTGTAATTGACTAATGGTATATAGTATCACTTATTTATTGTATTCATCTTTTCCAAAAATTTGTAATGCTCAGCTTAATATTCATTCCTTGTTTTGTGATATTTCAAGATTTTCAAACCTTTTGGCATCTTATTGATTTTGAAAGCTGAAATCTCGAATTTTAAATTCAGTTCATTGCGTTTCTTTTCTTATATGTTATTAAATATCTGTGTATAATGACCCGTTTGTTACGAATACAGCTACATTTAAATTCCCACTACTAGAATATGATAAGGCTCGTGTACGTTGACACAAAATAATTTTTTTACGATTTCTTGGAATTTGCTCTGTTCGGTGAAGAAGCGTTATTTAGTTTAATCTGGTATTTCAGTGCATCATGGTAGGGTTTTCAGTTATTGAGTTTTATGTTCATAAAATATGGGATGTGGAGTTATCATTTACCACAGGATTCGCTAAGCAGCTGTGATGAGCTTGATTAAGTTGGGTTTTTTTTTGCAGGCTTCACAGTTTTGTAAATTTTCATAAAAGCTACATTGCTTTATTTTTCTTTGTTTTTTACCAGTAATATGCAGCATTTTTTCATATAATTGACGGAAGCTTCTCTAATAGCTTAAAAATGGAAATATAGCTGTTCACGTTATAAATGTAATTAATTCACTCATGATGTAAGTTTTTCAGTCTTTTTGATTTAATCGTGTTTCTCGTTTTTGCTTAACATTTCATCTTGTGAAAGTGCCGTACTGTCTGATATATTGATTTGAGCTAATTTTTTATTCGTTATTTTTTTTTTGCGTAGTTGTATCTATTTTATACTTTAAAATGCAAAATCCCGAAATTTTGGGACGAAACTATTGAGATTCAGCATGGATCTGGAATTGCTCAAAATTACAATGATGCGTTTAAAAAGTGTCTGTAATTTAAAGAGAAAGTATGTAATCGAACATAAATAAAAATGTTTTATAGCGTGGTGCTTCATTTTGCTTCTACCCATTAAAAGTCCGATCGAGACCAATGCTTTGGGACGAAGTTTGATTCTCTATTAATCGTCAGACAGTTTTGTTAAATTTTATTGCCTTATTTCCATGATACTTGGTTACATTAAAGATGCTCCATAACAAGAGAAGTCATGTATTACTCTGTAACATGTGTATATGGTGCATTATATGAGCATTACAACGAATAATCAGAGCTTTTAGTTTAACGATGCATCTCGGAATAGTATTTGTACACAGTTTGACTGTTGCACATCTACGTTATTCTTGGAATTACTCATATTTCATCACATTTTCCAAGTAAACGGAACAGTCATCAAGAATTATCACTTAGCTACAATTGCAATAGTACTCCGTGTACTTTTATATTTTTTGCTGTTTCTTTTGGAAAATCTATCAACGATTGTTAGAACAGAAGAGTTAAAATCAGGACATGGTGTTGAATAGGTCATAGGAATCTGTAACAAATACATTACAGGATAACAAACTTGGTGGTTTAATGAATCATGAGTTACAGATAAACTGTCATGTCTATCATGAGAAAAATTTAGTAGTACTAAGAAAGGAATTAAAGTGACTGTCACAAATTACATTAACTGTCTGGTGGGAGTAATTAGCCAATTTTGATCTAGGTTTTGTTATAATTGTGAAATGTGAAGGTAGACGTTATGTCAGATCCACTAATATCTAAATTATTTTTGTTCTATGCTCGATTATTGTAGCGATTAGTAGACTGTTAATGTAGTGCACTATAAAGTTTTAAAATGCAAATGACACATAATTTGTAGTTCTGTCGTTTTTTTTTTTGTTACTAACATCGGGAAAAATTGTATCGTAATAAGCAAGACCATATGTGGAGCTAGTAGTTGTACTGATACCAATTTTAAACCTTTTTGCTCATTGAAAGTAAGTCGAATATCAAGTGATAATTTCAAAAATTTATTATTATTATTAAAGATGACAAACCAATGGGAAAAGAAATTAAGAGTGTGTCTAAGATTATATATCGAAATATTTAATAAAATTTTGCTTCGTTTCCCTTTTATGGAATTGACGCACTCACTAACTTTAACAACAAATTAAAGAAGATTATATACGGTAGAGGTGGGAGAAAGTTGAAAAATTTTAATTGGATAGCATGTTTTGTCTCCGCCTTTTCTATATTTAACAAATCATTCGAAAACTAAACAAAACTTCTTCATTCTCTACTTCATATAACGTCTCTTATTTTTTCAACTTTATTTATACTACTAATCAAATTTGTCCCTATAACAATGGCTATTTTACCTTTTTCCATTGACGCCATACTTAATACAGGTAAATGTTTAGCATATTTCGCGTTAGTGTTTATTTAATATTGAAAAGTAAACGTGATTAGTTTTTGAAATGCAGTAGTTTTTGAAATCAATTTAGTAAATCAGTCATGGATTGCTAGCAGTTTAGTGAAAATTATTTTAACTTCATTAAATTTTATAAATTATTTTCTTCTCTTGTAAATATGGCTGTAATAAAATGAAATATCTTAGTATATTTGATATTCTTTTCAATTTTGTAAAATTTCAATTATTAGAAAGAAAAAATTCAATTTTTTAAATGAATACATGCATTAATTTTTTTTTTTGCGCTTGGATTCGTAATTTATTCAATCTATAATTTAATTCTGAGTAAAATAATACTCAACAGTTAATTGATCATCTCTCCATATCATACATAAGATGGATAAACGTAACATAAATAACGTAACGTAACATAGGATGGATAAACGTAACGGAATATATCTCAACACATCATTTCATAAATGATCCAGCGATAGAAAACACAAAGATTTTTGATTTACCCTTCAAAGCCAAATGTATAATTTACTCATTATTCTAATTATTTTCAGTTAAAAATCAAATTTTATTAATTTATGACTCATATTTTTTGAATAACTTTTGTAGTAATAATTTATCAGACTTCAAAGCTAAGAGCGCGAAGATAGATATACTTTACGTATTGCAATTTTAGACTTAATAATGAACAAGAAACAAAATGCATTGTGGGACTTTGCATCACCAAGTTCATCATGGAGTGGCCCATGGAATGATGAAAAACGAAAGTCATTTGAATGTCCAGATTGTGGCAAAGTTTTCAGTGCTCACTACAATTTGACAAGACATATGCCTGTACATACAGGAGCTCGGCCATTTCTGTGCAAAGTCATTTTGTTTTTTCAATTTAATAATAACAATAATTATAATTATAATCAAAATAAACTTTACATAGTTCCCTTAGCCATTCTACTTGAAATCAGCACTGATTTACCAGTATTTACAATAAACATGAATGAAATTATTTATTTTAAGTCAAATTTAGTTATGTGCAATTTCATTTCTTATCTTTTGTGATTTGATCACTTTAAATTAATTCCAGCAGTAATATTTATATACACTTCTTTTAGCTCTATTTTTTTTAGGTCTTCTTAATTAATTTTTTGAATTTATCTCATTTTCTTTTGTTATTTCAGCTGTATTATATTTTTGCATTTTGCCATCTAACTTACCTTCATCTGCTTCATTTCCATATCAATTTTTTCTAACAAAACTTTTTCAGATCATTTCTAATCACCTATGATCTTATAAAAACTGTTCCTGTTTAGATTTACAAACAGATTTCTTCTTTAAGAAATATTGAATAAAAAATTTATTAAATTTTGAAATTAAGAGCTAAAAGTAATACATTGTTTTGTATAATTATTTCATGATAATTTGTAGCTTTATGATTAGTTGATTTAATTGAATATGCAGTGATTTAAGAAATTGATCAAGATATATTAGACCTCGGAAGTTCAAGTAAAATCTTATAATTTTTCTTGAAAAAGTTTATATTTAGATTTAAAATTATAACTGATCAATGGCGAATTGTATCTTGCAAGCGACATTAAGGTATTAGCATGGTGCAATCCAAATTTGAAAAACTTTTTAATATGTTAATTAAAAAAACTGAATGAAAAGTAATTAAAAAGAAATGGATAAACAAATATTCTAAAATCATATAATTTTTAAAGTTTTAATAACTCTGAAGATTTCCGTAAGATTCAATATTTCTGCCTTTCATGAAATTTTCTATCCAGAATGATAAAATCTCAATCCTTACTTCATCATTCTCTAATTATTCTCACAACAATCATAGGAATATTCGTATTTTTTTAAAAACATTTTGTGATTTTATCAATAAATAATCTGATCGTTGCATTATTCACCAAATAAGTACAAAATGATCACTTATTCACCAAATGATTACTAATAATTTGATGCATAATTTAGGTATGTGGTAAAGCTTTTCGTCAAGCATCAACACTGTGTCGTCACAAAATAATTCATACACAACAAAAACCGCATACAGTATTAATCTTTGCATATATTTCATTTTTTCCGTTCAATTTTTTATGTTTGTAAATTTATTTTTATGTAATTAAAAAATTAAATTATGAATAATTTTGCAGACAATTAAAAAAATATTTCCTTTTTTTTGCATTGAAATAATAGTAATGAGGGAAAGATGCCGAGAAAAGTTTTGTTTACGCATTAGCAAGAAGAAGTAAACAGGAAAGATGCTAGCATTTGCATTAAGAATATAACCATAACTAAGAAGCTTTCAGTGTGTCACCTGTGGTAAATGCTTTAATCGGTCATCAACGCTCAACACTCATATCCGGATTCATTTAGGTAAGCAAAAATTTTAATTTATTTGAAAATTTATGCATTACGAAAATGTATACACTTTTTTGTTAGGTTTGTAATAGTGCAGAGGAGCATATGAATATCATAAAAATGAAGGAAAAAAAGTGCTAAATGCAAATAAAAGTAACAATTTATATTTATATAAATTGAACTATTAATTATTTTTAAATTTATTGATTATTTTCTTTTTGTATATACAAAACAAAGTAAAAATTTTAATATAAATGCTTCAAATTCAAATTTGTGTTGCAAAAAATTATAAAAACTTGAGATATGTGCTCAAAAGTTTTAAAAAGTGTCTTAAACTACTCAAATTCATTTAATTTATGTCATTAATTTTTTGAATTGATTTTAAGCGATAAAAAAAATTTGATTTAGGCTATAAACCATATATATGCGAACTGTGTGGTAAAGGATTTCACCAGAATGGAAATTATAAAAATCACAAATTAACACACAGTGGTGAAAAACGCTTTAAATGTAACGTTTGTAATAAGGCTTTTCATCAGACATACAACTTAACATTCCATATGCATACACATCGAGAACAGAAGCCATTCGTTTGTTCTTTTTGCGCCAAGGGCTTCTGTCGTAATTTCGACTTGAAGAAGCACATTCGCAAACTGCACCAAATTACATCATCTAATGATCAATGAAACATACATACATATTACTCGATTTATATTTATTTTTGCATTTAAACTTCTCAAATAATTGAATGCAGCATTGACATATAGAACGGTTACAGTTTTGCAAATTTATGCAGTTCTTTTTTGATGAAAGTCTCTCTTTCTTTTCATTTTTTTAAAATTAGAAGCGAAATCCTTTCTATTCAGATTAAATTTTGTGCTTAGCGTGAGACTGATTATCCTTTACAGTCAAGTCTCTCTTAATCCATACCAAACACCGAAATGTTATTGTTTCATCGATTTATATCGATCTATAAATAATTCATATCACTTACTAGATCATAATATTTAATTTTTCGGTCAATTTTTGATATATATAGTTAAAATGGTTATCTCTAACCATACCACCACAACAGCAATCATTTTACAGTTATAAGTTTAAAGCATCATGTGTATTTTACAAATGCAAATTTTAAAAATTTACAAAATATCAGACGTTTTTGTTATTATTAAACCAGTTCAGAAGACATATAACATTTTCCACAAAATTTATAACGCAGTAATAATGTAGCAATTGAAACTGCTGAAATTCAGAATTACATGATGGTAGTTTCAAAAAATAATGAGAATTCACAAATGAATTGTGCTTGCCCAATTAATTATTTCTTAACAACTGCGCTGCAGAATGAATGATATTATTCAATTCAAGTTCATTTTTTGCCATCCTGAATCTCTAATTTTTCAATTTTTTATTATTTCATGCCATATTTTATCATTAAGGTAGATGTATAATTTGATTTAAACGTTTTCTTCAGTCTTAATGAGGTATAATATTACTTTTGCCATTGATTCTCACAAGTTTTATAAAACTTTCAAATATCCCATTTATTAACAGTATACAAATTAAGCACTACGATTATTCGACAAACAAAAATAATTTTAATCATAGTACATGTTTAAAAAAATTTACGAAAATATAGCTTTTTCCATCAATTTGATTGAAATTTTCGAACACAATATTTTTATTTTGCAAGTTATTTGAGTAGATTAACTTTTAAGTTTTATAATGGATGTAGTTTTGACCTAACTGCTTCAAAATCTTGCAAAGTTAGTAGATTTATTTCTATCATCCAAGTTTTAAAAAATAATTAGACTCTAGTGTGTGATGTATCAGAATTGAATAGTCAGATTCTAGTCTAATAAAAGAAACAGCTTGTTCTCTGTCACTGTTTAGATTTTTATTGCAATAAAAATCCTCAAAATTAGCTCTCATAGCATACAGAACTTTTGGACGCAGATCTCGATTTTATTTATTATCTGTTATTTCGTTTGATTATCATTATTTTCTCAGTATTTCCTGTATTTAATGAAATTGACCACTTTTCTTTGCTTTTTAGTATGGAAAGATTTACTTCGTCATCTTCTTATTAATTCCTTATACGCATACGTGTTTTCCATAAAAAATTTTAAAAATAATACTGTAAAATTAAAAAATAATCAGGTTCTAAAGTGTGTGATGTAAAATTAAAAAGCTTAATAATATTGACATAAATTTTAAAAAGCATTTTTTTCATGCGTATCAGAAATCAAAGTTTGAAAAAGTTGAGACACACAATTAACACAATTGCGAGGAATGAAACAGAACAACTCTTCAATTTGGTTCATATGTAAGCAGGCTCGTATTTGGAGTCCATTTAAGAAATTTATGAGCATAAATATAAGCCAGAAAATCTCACAGTATCACACATACTAAAGGTTTATATGATGCGTCATTTTTGTTTAGTACCACGTAATCTAATATAATATAATATAAGAAAAAAAATGTAATGACTTCAAGTGTCTAAAAAAAACCATATTTTTAATACTTTTCAAAAAAAAATTGTGCCGGAAATACGGTAGATTAGTTTGCGACATTTAGACGTTTGTAGTGTAATTGTTACAGCAAATGTTTGGCTCATAAACTAAAAAAAGTAAAAAAATAGAAAAAAATTTTTGACTGCTGAAAAAAAAAATTCAATTGAAGCATTTTAAGTGTTTTACACTGAATTTTTGATTTCATGAATTAACTTCAACAGCTTAAGCATAAAAATAAATGATTTAATAACACTATATTTAAATGTAATGAAGAAAATTACTTTTGCACGTATAGTCTAATTCTTTTTCGCCATGATTTTTGCTTCGAACAATTTATGATAAATTCAAGTGTTAAGTTTGTCATTTAAAAAATTGAATATATTTATGGTGATTTTAAGAACAATTTTAAGTAGCTTTAGTATTCATTAACTGATAATTATATCTTTCTTTGAAAGCATTAAAACTGAAAAGTATATGGTACTTAAAGATTATTAAATTTCCATAACAATATCGAAAAGCTTTCAACATTTGAATACTTTTCAGTTACTGAATAAACCTGTTAAATCGCATTTATTTCAATAATCGTCACAACGATACCATAAATTTTTTCATCTTTATATTCATTCTTACTTTAAGTAGTAATGATATGCGTGGCAATCAATTTTGCATTGTAAAATGATTGAATGAATTGATTTTCCAATAAATTTGATTTAGTAATATTGTAAAATATTACTAAAAATGAATTTGCTAATAAGTAAATTTCTTTTTCAACAATTTTTACTCTGAAAATGAAGTAAATAAATTTGCTTTCTCTCATTAATTCTCTCTTTCTGATTGCCAATCTTTTATCGATAAATTAATGATTTTCTTTTTCATATTTGTAATGAAAACAATCACTTAATAACTAACCTCTTTTAATTTCAGTTCAAAACTTTACTAATTTTTAACAATTTTCTTTCAATAAATTTTTTCTAAAATAATAAACAACCCTTTTTTTTTTTGAATTACAATTAATAAATAGTAATTTATAAATTTAAGATTTAAAAATTAATTATTATCACTTAAAGTAATACTCATTTGATCTCTCTCAAAATACTTTTGATTTTGCTTTGCAATAGTAAAATTAACTGCTAAAATGAAAATTGTTTAGACTAAGTGAGCAAAGATGGATTTATTACTAATCATAACTCTGCTGTCACAATGTCTAATTCTATCTCTGCAAAGATAATTCCTTCATGCCATCTTATTCACATTATATAAATTTATAGCCAAAAATTAATTTTCTTCTTCTCTTCATGTTATTTGCAAAATTTTTCAAGATTTTGTCTTCACAGCAAGTAGTTGGATGCAATATTAATTTTATTTAGCAAAGTGTCATTCTTACATTTTTTTTTTGCTCTTTTGAATAAACATTTGTATAGCATTCTCAACCAATTAACACATGCATTACAACAGAACTCTTCTTATCAATCAGTAATGGACAATAATTCCAAGCAAAACATACAAAAAATAAATACAAGCAAAAAGACTTCACTTTAATCACTGAATTGCAAGAGAAGCACTTTAACTTACCAAAACAAAATGCCATTAAATTGAAAATGAAATTATTCAAAAATTCTTAGTACCAAATAATAAAAGTTACTTGCTGATAAGCTAAGAATATAAATTCATTCTTGATCTTTATCATTTTATTTACTGGTGATTAAGGTATCTTTTTTAATTTAGTACAACAACAAAAAAATTTCCTTTTGAGTCAAATTTTTGCATAAATAATCAATCCATTTTAAAAAAGAATATCAGGTTTTCAACAAATTAATTGCCCATTTTCATCAACTACTTCAATTTTGGATATAACAAACGTTGCCGGACCAAATTCAGCAAATTTATCATGCACAGCAACAATGCTAAAGTTTTGCGTTTCTACGTCAAGTCTTAAATTCATCGTTATTGTTTTGGGTGAACTAATTTTTGGACCCAGTATTGGTCGACAATCAAACAGTGTAACAAACTCATCGCCACACAAGAAGGTCTGAGAACCGAAAGTTGACTGATAAAGCTAAAATTGTAGATAATGTGAAAAAATATATAAATAAATATTCTTATCAACAAGCATTTTAAAAATTTAAACTTTCTAGCTAGCAAGCTTTAAAAAGTGGTCAATGGCACATGGTTTATTTGATTGTAAAATTATGCAACAATAAACTCGTACGAACTTTTAAAATCACGAAAATTTTGTTCTTGTGGGAATGAAAATAACCAAATCTAGATTTTTTAGTTACCAACAAGAGCAATTTCAATTTTTGAAACAATTTAATTGACCTTTCGCAAAAATATTGAGAATTTCTGTTTGTGAATATTCATTTCGTGAATTTTATAAAAATATAATGAGCGACTAAATCATTGGTATTTGTGAGAACTATAACTTTTTTTTTTCCAAATAAAATTTTATGATTGAAACATTTCTGTTAAAAAATGTTCTGTAATTTTTCACCAGTATCAAAGTCTACAGCCATAAAAATATGAATTTCAGTATTTACTACATAGTAAAAGAATCTGATAATTTCCTCTGATTTAAAATTTATTGTGCTTGAGAACTAACTTCAATTTTTAACTCGAGTGAACGTGAAATTTGAAATCGTGGTGATCGCAGAACAGCTAATCCGGATCCTTTATTCATCACTGCTGTTAATCCTAAATCTCAAAAACACTTCATAATATAAACTTTAGTTTAATTTAAAATATTACATATTTTAAATATATTTCTTCACTAATTTGAATAATGCAATGTTTTTCATTTTACAAATTGTTCGCTATCGTTTACATACAGTTGAAAATAATTTGAAATGGTTATTAATAATCCTTGTTCAATTAAAAAAATCATTATGACTCTGAAAAAATAAAAAATACAAAAGTTTTAATTAATTATTTTTTATTAAATTCACCTTTTGATTCAATGTTAAATAATGTATTTGCTTGAGTATTTATTTCTGATTTGTAATTACAAAAAGTGTGTCGAAAAACACAATGTAGCTTTTTGCAAGCAATTTGTGATAAAGATTGCAATGGACACCAATCACCAGCTGTTTCAATTTTTCGAATAATAACCAAACTAGGCCCAGTTGATTTTGCAACAAGACGAATGACAAATTCTTCATTTCTGCTAATTTCCATCGAAAGCCAACCGGAAAAAATATACCAAAAAATTTTTTCCAAAACTTAAAATTATGTTTTGTTTGTTAGAGTAAGTAAAAATTAATTGCTTAAGAAAGCAAAACTTTCTGCAATTAACTATAAAATTCAAAATAGTCAACAAATTTTTTGATGACAAACAATTATTGTAATAGCAAATAAAAACTTTATAAATACCAGAGCGAGATTTTTCAGTATTAACACATTGCTTGTCTACGCATATCATTAATTCTGCATTATCAGTTCGAAAGTAAGCAACAAAAATTGTTGCTTTATGAGCACATAATACTTTACGTGATCGCAAGATAGCAACACCAGACTTTTTTAAAATAGTTGCC